ATATAGCCGCAATATTGCGGCAATGTATTGCCAGAATGTTGCTGCAATATTGCGGCAATAAAATCAGAAGATGTTGCCAGAAGGTCAATATTTTGGTAACGGAGGGCATTATTGTCCCCCGTTTTGGGGGAAAGGGAGGGAACATTAAATCTTATTTGTCTGTCAGTCTGGCCATCTTTGACAGTATGTGCATCTGTCACAATAAATTTAACCTTGATCATAACTTTTGAATAATATGAGATAGGGCTTTCATATTTTACATGTACATTACCACAAAATTTTCTAAATGTACTATGATTTTTTAACCCAAGTGAGACCTTGACCTCAAAATTTTACCTACTTTCCAAAAAATAACATTTTAAATTAATCATTTTGAAAGAGAAAAGATATGGCATTTAAATTATACATGTATATTACATGTGAAAAGACTTTTCTAAATATATCATGACTTTTGACTTTCTGATCTTGACCTAGAAGTTTAACCTACTTTTCAAAAATATTATATTATATATTTATATATTTATATATAACTTTTGATTGAAAAGAGATGGGTCTTTCATATTTGACATGTACTTTACCTGCAACAAAATATTTCGAGCATGCGATGATTTCCCCCCTTTGACCTAATTTTCATAAAGTGACATATGATAGGGATGCATATTTGATACACAATCTGCCATAAACTATGGCATCCCATTCACTAAAACACAGAAAGCAAAGGACCACAATTCTTTGAATTTGCATGTATAATCTTGATATGGAAACATCCTCATATAATGTATATTCAAGTTTTTTATGCTACGCCATGATTAGGAATACATGTATTAGTTTTTGTCATGTCCGTCCTCCACCCTTCCATCTGTCTTTCCATCGAGCTCAAAGAAATTACTTTCTAGATATTTTATCAAAGTTCATATGCTGATGCATATACTGATGTAAACTATCCAACTGTGGCAATATTTTTTATGCGCCCGGATCGATAGATCCCGGGCATATATTGTTTTTGTCTGTCTGTTTGTCTGTTTGTCTGTTTATCTGTTTGTCTGTTGTCAACTTTAACCTTGGCCATAACTTTTGAACAATAAGAGATAGAGACTTCATATTTGGTATGCATACTCCACTATTAAAGTCCTTTCAAATGACATCAAGGTCAATGACCTTGTGACCTTGACTGTGACCTATATGCTAAAAATAGCTTTTTCGACTGTTTGTCATAACTTTTTAACCATAGGAGATAGGGACTTGATATTTGGTATGCATACTCCTCTAATAAAGCCCTTTCAGTTGACAACAAGGTCAATGATCTTGTGACCTTGACTGTGACCTATATGCTAAAAATAGCTTTTTACACTTTTTGCCATAACTTTTGAACCATAGGAGATAAGAACCTCATAGTTGAGATGCTTACTTCACTGATTAAGTTCTTTCAAATGACACCATGGTCAATGACCTTGTGACCTTGACCGTGACCTAGATGCAAAAAATAGCTTTTTACACTTTTTGCCATAACTTTTTAACCATAGGAGATAGGAACTTCATATTTAGGATGCATACTCCACTGATTAAATTCTTTCAAATGACACCATGGTCAATGACCTTGACTGTGACCTATATGCTAAAAATAGCTTTTTACACTTTTGGCCATAACTTTTAAACCATAGTAGATAGGGACTTCATATTTGGGATGCATACTCCACTGATTAAGTTCTTTCAAATGACACCACGGTCAGTGACCTTGTGACCTTGACTGTGACCAATATGCTAAAAATAGATTTTGAACTTTGTTTCCGCCGGGCGCATAGTGTTTCACAAACACATCTTGTTTACCTTTACTTTCCTTTGACCTTTACTTAACTTTTCTTAAAATTAGTGTTTAGCTTTATTTTAGAGAAACCATAATGATTCAAGTTGTGTAATGAAACTTCACATGATGATACATACTGATGTAAGCAATTAAAGCTTTACAATGCTTCACTCTTTTTTACCTTGACATTTCCTGTGATCTTGACCTCACTGTCTTAGACTAGATCAGTTTTGAATAAACAGTTCAAGATATATTAATCAAACTTCATATGCTAATACATACTGATGAGATTATTGCATTAACTTATTTTGACCTTGAATTTTCTTTTGACCTTGACCTCACTTTTTAAAATATGTGTTTATCTAAGTTTCAAATAAACCATTAATTATATTTTTATCAAAATTCATATGATAATAGTAAATTCACACTGATGTAAGCTTTTCAGCTAGAACAACATTTTGACCACAACCTTTCCTTTGACTTCTCTTTTCTTAAAACAAAGTGTTAAGCTCAGTTTCATTAAATCATTCAAGATATTTTTATCAAACATAATAAGCTAATATGTATTAGTGAGAGCTATTCAGCTGCATCAAAAACTTCATCTTGCACATTCCTGTGACCTTGACCTCCCTCCTCTTTAATATGTATTTTGCTTAGTTTTTAAGAAATAATTTAAGACATTTTTATGTTTAACATGCACTTATACATAATTTGATGAGAATTTATTATCTATATCCAATTTATTTATATTTTAGTTTCAATTCTGAAAAAAAAACTATTTAAGATATTTTCATCAAACTTTATACACAAATACAAATTTTAGTTTTTAGTTTTTAGCTCACCTGAGCCGAAGGCTCAAGTGAGCTTTTCTGATCATATTTTGTCCGGCGTCTGTCTGTCTGTCTGTCTAGCTGTCTGTAAACTTTTCACCTTTTCGACTTCTTCTCAAGAACCACTGGGCCATTTCAACCAAACTTGCCACAAAGCATCCTTGGGTGAAGGGGATTCAAGTTTTTTCAAATGAAGGGCCATGCCCTCATTCAAGGGGAGATAATTGGGAATTAATGAAAATTTGGTGGCATGTTTTAAAAATCTTCTTCTCAAGAACCACTGTGCCAGGAAAGATGAAACTTATGGGTTAACATCCTCAGGTAGTGTAGATTCAAATTTGTTCAAATCATGACCCCCGGGGGTAGGGCAGGGCCAAAATGGCCGACCAAAGTTTTATATAGAAATATATTGGAAAATTCTTTAATAATCTTCTTCTCAAGAACCACTGTGCCAGGAAAGATGAAACTTATGGAGTAACATCCTCAGATAGTGTAGATTCAAGTTTGTTCAAATCATGACCCCCGGGGGTAGGGCAGGGCCAAAATGGCTGACCAAAGTTTTACATAGAAATACATAGGAAAATTCTTTAAAAATCTTCTTCTCAAGAATGACAAAGCCATAATTCATCAAATTTATATGGAAGCATCCTCAGGTAGTGAAGATTCAAGTTTGTTCAAATCATGACCCTGGGGGTAGGGCGGGGCCAAAAAGGCCGACCAAAGTTTTACATAGAAATTTATGGGAAAATTCCTTAAAAATCTTCTTCTCAAGAATGACAAATCCATAATTCATCATATTTATATGGAAGCATCTTCAGGTAGTGTAGATTCAAATTTATACAAATCATGACCCCAGTGGGTAGGGCGGGGCCAAAATGGCCGACCAAAGTTTTACATAGAAATATATGGGAAAATTCTTTGAAGAAAAGCAAATCCATGATTGATCATGGGATTACTTTTGGATTTTAACTTTTCAATAATAAAGCAATTTCTACTTTTTCTTAGCTTCAGTACTCAGGTGAGCGATGTGGCCCATGGGCCTCTTGTTTAATGTACCATTAGTAATACACATCTGTCCTATAGACATATTTCTAGTTTTTCAAATCATCACCTCAGGTTAGGGTCAGGCCACAATTAGGGATCAAAGTTTTATTCAGGAATAAAAGGAAACACATCTTTAAAGTTCTTCTTTTCAGGAACACCAAGAGCATGATTAATATGGAAATATTCTCAAGAGGTGTAGATTCAAGTTTGTACAAATCATGACCACCAGGGTTAGGGAGGTGCCATATTTTTCCAGCCCCTTTTTGCCATCCATATGAAAATTCAAATTTTGAAACCATTTTACACATACACAAAACAAACCAATCATTTTCTAAATGATCATGGTTTAAAGCTATTGCAGCATAAGATATTAGGGAAGTTCTTGAAAGCAGGGTGATTAAACATGTCAAATATATGTAAAAAAAAAAATATATATATAAAAATTCTACCTCGATTTGATCCCCATCCCCCCCACCCCCCGGGCAAAATGAAAATTCCGAAACCTTACTGCACATCTACATGACACCACCAACCATCTCTTAAAAGATGATAAGGCTTCTGAGTAAAATGTAGAAGGAGTTCAGGGAAGAAGGGGCTTTTTGTATAAAAAACGTCATTTTTCGACCCCCATTTGATCCCCCGGGGCAAAATCAAAATTCCGAAACCTTACTGCACATCTACATGACACCACCAACCATCTCTCAAAAGATGATTAGGCTGCTGAGTAAAATATAGAAGGAGTTCAGGGAAGAAGGGGCTTTTTGTATAAAAAACGTCATTTTTTGACCCCCATTTGATCCCCTGGGGCAAAATCAAAATTCCGAAACCTTACTGCACATCTACATGACACCACCAACCATCTCTCAAAAGATGATAAGGCTGCTGAGTAAAATGTAGAAGGAGTTCAGGGAAGAAGGGGCTTTTTGTATAAAAAACGTCATTTTTCGACCCCCATTTGATCCCCCGGGGCAAAATCAAAATTCCGAAACCTTACTGCACATCTACATGACACCACCAACCATCTCTCAAAAGATGATTAGGCTGCTGAGTAAAATGTAGAAGGAGTTCAGGGAAGAAGGGGCTTTTTGTATAAAAAACGTCATTTTTCGACCCCCATTTGATCCCCCGGGGCAAAATCAAAATTCCGAAAACTTACTGCACATCTACATGACACCCCTAACCATCTCCCAAAGGATGATTAAGCTACTGTGAAAAATGTAGGAGGAGTTCAGGGAAGAAAAGTGTGACAGACGGACGGACGGACGGACGGACATGAGTAACAGCAATATACCCGAACTTTCTTTCGAAAGTGCGGGTATAAAGAATAGGGAATTAGTGAAGGGTATCTTCGACTGTCTCAATCATTAGAACTTTATTATGTTAGTATGTACATAAAATATGTCCATAGTTTTTACTGTGTTATGTTCAATCCTCTATTAGACCCAGACTGAAAAGAAGAAATGAAGAAATAATAAATAAATTATAGCAATGCTCAGATGAAACCTTTTCTAACCTTTTTCTCTATATGTAGGTCATCTTTGTTAATTGCAAAGTGTTTTTTTTTTCTTTTTGTATGAGGACATTAAAAATACATGATTATATACATTACGTATATGATTTTTTCTCATAAAAGGAGTTGATCCCTACACTGTTCATAAGAATGATAGAATGTTACGGACAGCTGATACGTTCCTCAATAATATATAATTTTTTCCAAGGTTTTGTCATTGAAGTATTGCTACTTTAATATGTTTACTCACAAAAAATTGAGGTACCTTACCAGACATTTGTGCAAGATATCAGAGGGTAGTGTGTTTAGATAATCCTTAAACTTATTTTTTTTAAATCAAATTTTTTGGTGTTTCAATTTTTTTAAGACGATTAGAAATAGAAATCAGAATGTACCTAAAATTTCTGAATATTTTTCATACATTACAAAAATATAGAAAAACAGACATTTGAGGAACGTTATAGTCTGCCCTTAAGGCAGAAAGTATCTACCTCTTTTTCGTCACGTTACCTGTCCTCACAAATGGCGTGCAGTAGTGCACTACACGGCCAGTCCCCGTACAGAAATCCACCCTCAGCCCACAGTCCCGCGCAGTCCTCGTTAGGGTGGTCGTCTGGTTGATGTGGACCCCACTTCACGTACGTAGCCAGCTCGTTGTTGGGGGAGTCCTGCGGTGCGTTCAGTCTTGTGTTTCCCATCCACATCCACTCTCCCTGTACAAGGGCGTCTGACAGGTTAATCCAGTACTCCTTTACATCGAAAGAGGCTAACAAAAAAAATAGTCAATTTCAATTCACTGAAAAAAATGCTAAATACGCTTCAAAATTTAAATAATTTGAATAATGAAGACAGGTTGTTGTTCCTTAATTGTTCTTACTGTCATTTGCTTTTAATTGATTTGCTACTTGAATCAAAAAGTTGTGCTCTGCGGCTGACTCGATTCGAACAAGTTCGCCTCCAAGTGTTGCACAGTACGTCTACAAAATCAGGATTTGTATGTGTATTTTCTGTAGGTGAATGTAACAAACAACATACATTTACATTGTATTAATTGCCATCGATAGGGCACACTACATTGCACACCTTGTTCAATTGGTACTCTGGGTTTTCAAACTAGTATATACTTACGATAGCTTCTGGCCAACTGAAATGTTCATGCACAAATTTGTAGCATGACTGGTGAAAAGTATAAGTGTTTGATCCCAGCTGACAATTCGGTTGGCCTTGACACGATATTACGAATGCTAGAGCTACATGTATTGCAATACCTAAAAGAAATCGACAAAAACGAGCAATGTATTACAAAATCCAAGCAGAATCAAGATGTGTTTGTGAAACACTATGCGCCCGGCGGCAGCAAAGTTCGAAAAAGCTACTTTTTAGTATTTTTAGCATATAGATCACAGTCAAGGTCACAAGGTCATTGACTTTGGTTTTATTTGAAAGAACTTGATTAGTGGAGAATGCAATTCAAATATGCAGTGTCTATCTTCTGTGGTTTAAAAGTTATGGCGAAGTTACAAGAAAGCTTTATTTAGCATACAGGCCACAGTCAACGTCACAGTCATTGAACTTGATGTCATTTGAAAGAGCTTGATTAGTGGAGTATGCATACCAAATATGAAGTCTCTAATATCTTTCATAGTTCAGAAGTATATATATGGCGAAGGTTAAATTAAGTTTGCAGACAAAAAGCTATTTTTAGCATATGGGTCACAGTCAAGGTCACAAGGTCATTGACCTTGGTGTCATTTGAAAGAGCTTAATTAGTGGAGTATGCATACTAAATGTGAAGTCTTAATCTTTCAAAAGTTATGGCGAAGGTTAAACTTTGCAGACAAATAGACAGACAGACAGGACAAAAACAATATACGCCCCGGATCTATCGATCTGGGCGCATAAAAATCGGTTAACATTTATACATCTTCGCTAGCCAAGGATTTCTGATACGCTTCTCTCATTTATGAGGGGAGTAGCGTATCAGAATCCTTTGGCTTCTAGCGAAGATGACATTTGTAAAGCTAGGGCTGTCTTAATTCATCTTTTCCTCTTGCCATACATAGAGGATATATTAGTATTATTCCACAACTGTTGAAGACGTTAGGTCAATTTTTGATAGAACAAGTGTTAACAAAATTTTGATTTTATTTATAAAAAGAATTTTAAAAAACTATGGAAATGTACTTACATAGAAGTAACATGTTTATCAAAGCGGCTTTTATTGCATTAGTGTATGAAATTATACACTCTCCTTTCCTTATCATAGACTATTAGATAAGAAACTATATGGGGAATAATTCACTTACCGATGACAATGAACAAATGTGATTTATTGGGACTTTTTCTCTACTTATTTTCAAGTTAGTAAACAAAAAAAATTCTCTCTCTCTCTCTCTCTCTCTCTCTCCAGCCTTAGGCATGCGTTGTGTGAGCCTATATAATTGTTGTCTTGTAGTCCAGGTCACAGAATCTATAGAAGTCTGTCCTGATGGATTCATCAAACATCACGGTTCCTGTTACAAGTTCCTACACCATCATCTCAGCTGGCCGGAGTCTATTGTCGGTTTTACACAATATTACAAAATTACACACTCCTTTATGTTTTTGATTCCCTAAAGAGCAAGGCCTGTAAAACTCAAATTCATCGACATTATAGTCAATATTTTGGTTCATACCCCAATGTACTTTCAAAAATAAAGTTAATTACTTTCTCTAATCGAGTAATTATTACATGTACACCGAGTTAACGTTAATTGAACACGTTTAGATTACCAACATTATAACGCAGGTTATTATCATAGCCTTTGAGACTCCAAAATGTACAATTTTTTCTTATAAAATATATCTCAGAATACTTGTATTTTAAAGAGTGTACTAATCTTTCTAGACTTTCTGTAAAGTGATTGGTGCTCACCTTGTTACCATAGAAACAGAAAATGAACACAATTTTCTGATACAGAAAATTCATGAAATCGAAGGTATTATCTTCAAATATACATGTAAATACACATTTGATACATGTATATACTACTACCAAATGTATTATCTTATTCTCATTTTTTATCTCTAAATTTGAAAATGGCGTACGATGCTAATTAGTGTATTGAATTATTATTAATATTCAAGAATACGTGATCCAGTTATTTACATATAGCCTATACATGTAGGTTCTTTCGATGTCAAGGACTTTTGGATTGACCTAAACGACGCAGCAGACCAGGGTACATGGATGTGGAGCCTAACCCACACACAGGCCACTTACCTCAAATGGGGAGGGGGTAACCCCAATTATTTCGCCCGGGAGGACTGCGGGGGGCTGTTTCACGGTGGTCAGTACTTCTTTGGAGACTTCGTATGTGACCGGAAACAACACCTTATCTGCGAAATAAAGTACGTGGTTGTTAGATTTTGATATATTTTTTCAATATATTATTAAGGAAGATTAATTTTTTGGAAAAATATTTAAGAATTTCAACAATGTATACATTTTTCAATAATTAATAAGTTTCTCTCTCTATATTCAAAAATAACTGAGTTAAAAGTTTTACCAGATTGAATTTTATTAACTTCTTAAAATATTAATTATCAATTTTTTATGTAATTTTCAGTTTAAACTTTGGAGAGGCAATTATTGGATAAAATTGCTGCTGTATACAGAGGATTTCATTCAAGACATATAAGAAAAATAAAGCATTGTATGACAAGCCAGCACTGGTGTCTTTTTTTCTCTCTCGGGAAATAACATAAATTATCATTTTTTATCGAAAAATGATATAATAATATTAAATTTTTACCATTTTTAAAGTGATAGTGATTAGACTTGATCTAACTCTGTTGTGGTTAGTATTTTTGTCAAACGGCATTTTTGAATGACGCGTTGCCGTTTGGTAAATCTTCTCCCCATTCGATTGACGCTCTTTTGCGTTATGAATAAGAAAATCAAAAGAACGACTTATCTAGCGCCCACGTGACTCTGTCATTTCCCGCCATAATTCATCTCTTTGTAAACATCAGAAGGAAAAGGATAACCATGCCTGGCGTTGAAGATTGGACAACTAACCCTTTAGGAATCGTTCAGAGTATTTATGGTAGGCGTCATTTTGATGATTATTTTATTAGAAATCAGCAGCACCTACGGACGTGTGTTTAAAGTCGCACATGTGCACACTATATGGCACGTCCAATCGCTTGATTCAGCTTTATAGCTTTAATGCCATCAATAGCCCCAAAACTTATAGAACTTTGAGTACAAAGTCTCACAAGGAAACGCAATTTAGTGACTGATTTCTGTATATATATACTTCACATATAAAAATACACAAGGGAAGAATCGAAAGTAGCACACGATTTTTAAAAAAAGTCAAAAAACTTACTTGAGAAAAGTTACACAAATCCTGAAAGGAACTAGCGTAAATAATGTCCTAGAACTTATCCAGGCTAAAATATTCCAGATATATCCATCGAAAATAGCTTTATCCAACTAAAACCCCAGCTTTCTGCACAGTGTGAAACTCTTCGCCCAAGAAAAGATAACTCACCCGGATGACAATAGAGTAGTACCCGAAGTCTTCCAATGGCACTCGGAAGGCCTCGGGTCCTACCCTATTGTCATCCGGGTGAGTTATCTTTTCTTGGGCGAAGAGTTTCACACTGTGCAGAAAGCTGGGGTTTTAGTTGGATAAAAGCTATTTTCGATGGATATATCTGGAATATTTTAGCCTGGATAAGCACTAGGACATTATTTGCGCTAGTTTCTTTCAGGATTTGTGTAACTTTTCTCAAGTAAGTTGTTTTTTGACTTTTTTTAAAAATCGTGTGCTACTTTCGATTCTTCCCTTGTGTATTTTTATATGTGAAGTAGAGAACAGAGTGGATAAGATGCCCCTGTGCTTTGAACTTCAAAGTAGAATATTATCAGTACACTTTTTGTACACGCTGAGAAAATAACACATTTTGGAAAAAGTGTAATGAAATAGCTTAATAAAGCTATTCTGAATAGCTTAATAAAGCTATATAGCTTAATCAAGAGATCGTGCCGGACCTGACTAATAAGTGTTGCAGCTTGCATGTGCTTAGATCTGTAAAGTGTGAGTAAATGTGAAAATGATAGATGTTTGTCAAGACTCAAGACCACTTATTCTGAAGTTATTCATAAACATTCCATTATTAAATGATTTTGTTTATTGTAGACAAGCATGGATCAGCAAGTTCTGAAAAGGTCCAAGAATACTTTCATAGCAAAACAAACTCAGAAACCGCTCGCCTATGGGTAAGATTAATTTTAAGACGATTTTGGTTAGACCTTGAAGGTGAGAATTATTTAAGATTGGTGAATGTTATATTTTCTATTTTAAATGTTTAATAAAGTACAACAACTGAACAAACTTTAACCAAACACCCCCCCACCCCCCACCCCCCGACAATTATTTAAAAAGCAGATTTAAATATTCATACCTGTTTTGATGTTTCAGATACCCAGTTTAAATGACACACCTCTTCACTGTCTCCTGCCCAATTCCTTGGTGCGATACCGGTGTATGGTCCAGGACATGTTTGACCCAGAGTTCTACATGGGGGAGTATGAAGTGTCAGATGTCAATACAAAGGCTACCTCCATGAAGTCGGGGAAATACAAGGATATAGCAGAATGTGCTGTATGTAATATACACACTACATATTTTATTTAAGAAATATTTTTTTGTCAGGCATTTACAGAAAAAGGCCTGCAGATTAAGTTTCAATATGATTCAAAACATATTAGACCTAGCTGCAGAACTGTAGCATTATGGTTATACATATATGTATATATTAGTATACATATATGTATATATTAGTGAAGTCTTTGACCATAAAACTACAGTTCTCGTAATGCAAAAAATGTGCAATTTACGGTGCAAAATTTTTTGCGCACTGTTTGTGATTATGTCTCCTCTTTCCAACTTTGGTAAATCATCTACCTTTCACTCCCTAGTTCCAGACACATTCTTAAACCAATTTTTATATTTTATACAACCCTTTACAGTCGCCTCTACAGGTGATTTGAATTTTCTGAGGGATTACAGCTAATTCTAGTTCAAGGGAGTTTATCGCTTCTAGAGACCATTATGAAATATATATATAAAGGTAGATGATTAACCAATGTTACACTGCGCAAAAAATCTTGCGCCCTAAATTGCACTTTTTTTAGCATTTCGGGATCTGTAGCGTTATGGTCAAAGACTAACATTTAAAACCATAACGCTACAATTCTGCAGCTATATTAGACCATGAAAATTCCCATACTTTAGAATAGGACAATCTTGTTAAAATAAATTGAATACTAATAAAGAAAGAAATGGTAAATGTCACTCAGCAGAGCAAAAAAAAAAAATGCTATGGATGATGTGATTGTGAATTGTAAAAGAAAAGATTTACCTTTTTATGTTACTTTGTAGAAGCATCAAGAAATCAACATGGATTCAGATAAAAATGTTACAATGGAGAGACAGACTCTGTACTGTGTCCCTATTCCAGGAGAAACTGAATGGGTCAAGTCAATATCCTTTTGCAATAATATTAGTTAGCTGTAGCCGCATGCTGTCTCCACATTAGCAGCCATGGCATGCACAATAAGTTAGTAAAATTACTCTCAAGTTTGTGAAAAGTTCATTCCAGCAAGCTCAGTGGGATTCAGATTATAGTACAAGATTCCTTAACTTTGTAACGGTTACTCAGACAAAGCCGGGAAGAAGAGTTTTCCCACGTCCTCTGTGTCCTCCGGTAGGACCAAGCGAGGACTGGAGGAGGAGGAGCCTCGGTCTGATACTCACATGGAGGAGGAGTCTGAGGGGACAGGGAGGAAACCCGAGGACACCACCAATAAAAGACCACGGCCAGATAGTGGGGAAGGTGAATAACTCAAATCCTGTACAACCTCTGTAACAATTGCACATGTAGTATCTAATCTGTAGCCATTATTTATAATACTGTAGATTCCTAAATATAAGCGTGGAATTAATTATCGCATAATTTCGCATGAAGCACAACACGCCAAATTAAATTACTTGCCTTTATTTTTATGGTGCTGAAATCTATGTTAAAACTCTTGATCAACCGCCCATTCGCGAATTCTTATTCTCGCGATTTGCTGTTGAAGAGCTCATTCGCGATAAAAAGTACTCGCGAACAATAAGGAATCTACAGTAATTGTCATCAGGTTTGTAATTCTGAACTTATATAAGGTGATTCGTTCATTGTGTTAGTTTGGACTCCCAACAAATTTTCTCTATGATTCGTGCACAATGTAATTACACAAATGGTGAAAACACTTTATTAAGGTCTTCCGTTTCCAACGGAAGACCTTCTACTGAGTCTGTTGGTAAAGATTATTAAGGTCTTCCGTCTTCAGCGGAAGACCTTATTGTTTTTCTTAGGTTTCTTTTCCACTATTTTTATTATTATTGTTTTTTTTTCTTACCGATTTTGTACGCGCGATTTCTCGAGAACGGCTCGATCGATGTTCATGAAACTTTCAGGTCTGATAATACATCAAAAAATCTAGACATATATTTTTTTATTTTGATGACGTCACTTCCGGTTCGGAGTTTTCTGCGATTTAGTGATTTTTAGAGGGTCACTTTGTCCGGCAGTTTTCTCAAAAAGCACTGAACACAGAAGCTTGAAATTTTCAGTGATGCTAGAGCAACCTTTGGAGAAGTGCACTAAGTATATCACAACTACCGGAAGTACGAAGCGCCGACGCTCGCTATGGCCCGAAAATAGTCCTATCAAGAATTTCAAAATTTTAAGCACCTTTTCAACGATAACTTTTTACCTAGAAATATTTTGTTAAAGCATGTAGAACAAAAATGGTTTAGAATTTAAAGATCTTTCAAATGACATCTCGAAAAAAGGGCTGGCCCCTTAAATCAGGGGCCTGGTGGGGCCAAAAGTTTTTCCTTTATATCTCAAAAAGTATTGAGAATTTGTGATGCGTCAAAGAAGCAAAGTTGTTGAAAATGTCAAGCTTAATCTATTGAAGTCGTCAAAATACGTCCGGCGTCGTCACTTCCGGCCAAACCGGAAGTAGTCGGAAAACGCGTATTTTTGCCGTTCTTGACAAGTTTTTTGGTTACACATGTCTCTGGGAGCATTAAAATTAATTTTCCGTCCGTTGTCGTCACTTCCGGTCAAACCGGAAGTAACAGAAAATGGCTTGTTTTTGCAATAATTAACATGGATTTAGAGGAATCAAACAATTTTTGGACGTTATTTCTCATTTTTGTTAAAAATGAAAGCCACTTCCGGTCAAACATGACGGAAGACCTACTCGTTGCTTTGCAACGAGCTTTGCTCTAGTTATTCTTTTTTTTTCTTCTACTTCCTAGACGCCAACTTTGAAGCCTCGTATCTCACTCATTTCTCAATAGATTTCGCTCAAAATTTCAGAGTTTATAGACGTTGCTAAACTCTATTAAAATATTGTCTATTATTTCAAAAATTCACTTCCAGTTTTGAGTTATTTCCCTTTAAACGAAAATTTATAGGCTTTCATTTCCAGATAAAGGCTCAGAGACCACAAGGGCTGGAACAGACATTTTACTTATTTTAGATAATAGAAGTATTGAAGTTGTGCACATCAGTTTTTGTTTCTCGATTTCTCTACTGTAAATCACTTTTTATTCGCGAGAACTTTATTTTCGCATAATTACGCGAGACAGTGTACTCGCCAAAATTTAATTCTCGCGTATAATAGTATTCCTTAAGAATATATAGAGCAATAACCACAATTCGCGAAAATTTTGTCTCGCTAATCAAGAGTCAATAACTATGTCACAAAAATAAGGTGTCGCGAAAATTTAGTGATCTACAGTATTCAAAATGGCGCTATATAGGGGTAAAAAATTAGAACGCCTAAAAGAGCGAAAATTTACACATATTTTCCTTTTTATCTTCTAAACTAAATATATTTTGTTAAAACATATATAGTGATGGGGAATCGGAAAAAAATCAGAATCGATTATCGGTAATAATCGGCTGGGCATAATCGATTAATAATCGATTATAATCGAAATTTTGAACTTTAATAAAATTAATATAGAAAAGTTGAAACTTATTCAGATTTCTGTCAGACTTTTACAAAAAAAAAACAAACATTTACTTACATAAAATATTCAAAAATGTTATTTAAATTTCTTTTATAAAAAGTGGAAAATAATATTTTGTTTACTTTAAACAATATAGGACTATATAAGACTATTGAAACAGAATGGGAATTTATTTTTTTTTTTTATAAAGTCCATGCAATGGGTATTTTACTGATATTAGTCCCACCTTTCATTTAATACATGTATATTTTTCTTAAAATTAGTTTTAATTAGTTAAAATAATAAAATTGCAAGTCTTAAAAGTAAATATCCAGAAGTTAGACTTGTATTTATGATAATGATTACGTTTAAAGATTGACTAGACTAATTATGTTTTCCTTTGTATAGTAAAACCTTGCAATATTAGCGTTTCCTGGTATTAGTCTAACCACATATTTAATCATGGCGGTAAAAGTATCAACAAGACACGGAATCCTTCCATGTTTTCAACGTTCATCACTACTTTTATGCTCTTTGCGCTTAAATTTGGTAATAAAATTAAAGTATGACAATTTTATTTTTTGTTAGCGATGTCGGCGACATTTATTTTATAATCGATTAGTAGCATCGAAGAGCTTCTAACGACCGACAATCGATTGTCGGCGACAATCGTTCCATCACTAAAGATATAGAACAAAATTTGTGCAGAATTACAAGATCTTTCTAATGATGTCTCAGAAAAAGGACTGACCCCTAAATTAAGGGATCTAGAGGGGCCAAAAGTTTTTTTTCAGATATCTCAAAAAATATTAAGAATTTGTCAAACATCAAAGAAGCAAAGTTGTTCAAAATCTTTAGTAAATTCTATTGAGATCATCAAAATACGTCCTGTTATGTCACTTCCGGCCAAACCGGAAGTAGTCAGAAAATGCATATTTTTGCCGTTTTTGACACGTTTTTGGGAAATATTTGTCACTGAAAGTATAAAACTTAATTTTCCGTCCGTCGACGTCACTTCCGGTCGAACAGGAAGTAGCAAAAATTGCTTACTTTTGCAATTATCAACGTAGATTTGGAAGATTTAAATCATTAGAGACGTCATTTTTCTTTTCTTTTTTTTTTTAATAAAAGTTACTTCCGGTCAAACAGGACGGAAGACCTACTCGTTGCTTTGCAACGAGCTCGGCTCTAGTGTTTAGTTTTATAATAATATTTGGTTTTCTCTGATTATAGGATCAGTGCCAAGAAATAATACAGATCTAAATTTCCCTTTGCATGGAGAAAAAGGAATGCCATGTTTAGTGAAGGTATTTCCAAGATTTATGTTATTTAGTAAAATCTTTCATTCGTTTAATCAAATATTAAAAATGTAGAAAGATGATGCATGAACAATGTTTTCAACATTTATTTTGTTATTTGTATATACATTGCAAATAAAAGGGGTGTTATCAGTGTATACTATTCTATCTACAGATTTATGAAGATATGGATGGATTTGCAGTAAATGATATGGTGGAATTTATAGGGGTTCTTTCAGTTGATCCATCATTGGCTCATTTCCATGAAGAAAACAGGTACATATAAGAAGCAGTTTGAATTAGATATATGATTCTAGCATTTATTTCATATAAAGAATTTTTACAGAAAATTAACTTACTAGTGGTGAAGTAATTTCTTTTGATTTTATGTTGGAACAGGTCAGATGGCATACAGAGCAGTATAGAGGGTTATGAGGAACCCATGGAAGAGAAGGATGCACATGCCCCGCCCCCTTCTCTGGTGCCCAGACTTCACGCTCTGGTTCACCACAAACTGAAGCACAATAACCCCCATGTATCCACAGAGAAAGACAAGTTAGAGTCAGGTAAAGGGGATCCTTTATGTGCCGTGCTCTTGTGCATTGTAAAAGAATGTGAATTTTTATACTTTAGCATAGTTAATTTTTAAAGACAAAATACCACATCAAAAGTATTGAAAAGAAATTATCTCTCTCTCAAATATGGTTAAAGCAGAGAAATAGGAAAGATGTATTTAAGGTTTAAGCTAAATGATATATATCTGTGACTCTGTGTAATTCCGTTGTGAATAGTATTGATATGATGTTTTTCTATGGGTTTTACAGATGTGAGTTCCCTTAGGACAGAGATCTTCACGTTACGACGTCAGATCCTGTCAGCCCTGGAGCAGGTCATGCTGGGAGATTCTCTGGCAGCCGAGTACTTCCTGTGTCATTTGATCTCCTCTGTGTAAGACAGTCATTGATTTATTGCTTATTCTTTCCCATTATAACATAACAGTTGTGTTATCTTCAGAAAAGTATACTGTTTAGGTAGAATTTTTAGTAAGGATTCGATTCTGGTATTAACAAAGGTTCTGAGATTTCTAATATAAAATATAGCATTTTAATTTGTTCCTTATTGGTTATTATAGCTTTCTCTATTGACTTTTTAAAATCCCTTAAAGATTCCAATTTCATTTTAAATGTACTTTTTGCATTCAGGTATGGAAGAGCTGATGTGATGCCTTTAGGAAAGTTTAGTTTGAATATCACCCACTGTCCCCCAACTAAAGAGTATGGACAACTAATACACACTTTTATGGAAGCACTTACCACTAAGGTAGCAATTTGATGATTGGATAGAAAGAAGGGCATTTAATATTTATATTTGAAATTTTTTTTGGAAAAAAAATGTTCAAAATAATCTTTCAAGTTAAAGAACATCTGATAAGGGATAAAAGGGGAGGGGAAATCATTTTTTTCGAAGTGTTTTTCAAGTAATCTTACAATTCACAGTGCCACTTTCTTCCCTTGTCCATTGAAAACATGAACAACTTGAGGCTGTGTCCAGAGAAGGACTACACAGCTAACCGGCTGAAGAGTGGGGTGTTACAGCTGTCTGCAGACACCTCCCTTATCATTGACGAGACACAGCTACAACCAGGACAGCTGGAGGCAGTAGGTCAGTCACAGTGTAAAACTTAAAAGCTGAAGAAATTGAAAATGTTTAAGAACATGAAAGGGGTTCATGAGGATCCTTATCTGACACTGTTTTAAAAGTCAAGAATATTTAGTTTTAGTAACTAATGCATAAATCAAACTTGTCAAATACATGTGATGTAATATTCCACTAATATCTGTGTAGTAATTTCATGATTCATGGCATAGTTTGTACTTCATGCATTCATTTCAAAAAGGCCAGTATTTAGGCAGGATTTCAATGTTCCTGCACATTTAAAAAATCAGATCCAAATATTATTTGGTTGTACCAGTAATAGATAGTTAACTGTATTTTCTTATCTTCTCAGGTGTGAGAAACATCACAGCTCTTGGAAACCTCATTAGTTGGCAGAAGGTGGAATATGATTTTCGTTTCCATAGACAAGATTTCTTGTCCAATGTTTCTGTTCTGATTTTATCTGAAGCAAAGTCTATCTTACCAGTAAGTATCAATTAGGCAACATCCTCTACAAGATGTCTCTCACAAAAATAATCAAATTTTGGAACTTCACTCCCCCTCTTATGAATTGTTCTTATTCTACATGTAAACTTGCTTAAACTTGTATGTGAACATAGAAATTACATAATTTTGGGGTAACTTTCACTGTATGAAACTTTGCAGTTTGGAACTGTTCTTTGTATTGTTGATGTAAACCAAAAGCAAGTTTGATAAAATCCATGAAAAATGATCCTTCACACCACTCTTCAGTCTGTTGTGAATTTTAAAATTAAAATTAATAATCAATGTGTCCAAAATCATGAATATTTGTCACTTGTGAATAATTAAACAATTATCATTGCAGAGTGATTGCCTGGTGCCTATGAACCCAGCCTGTAAAGTAGAAAATCTCCAGCGACATTTCTCACAGCTTGATGTACTTCTCACCCCAGAGTTTCTGGGTCGTCTGAGGAGCTATCTGACCATCTGTAAACTTTTGGAATACACAATAGATGACACCATGCAAAAGGTAAACTAAATGATAAGGAAGAAGTAAGGACTCTCTGCTAGCATTTAAGAGTTTCTTAGAAGTATATAGGTTGATGCTAATTTTAATTTTATCATTTCAGTCAATACAAGATGACTTTGTAGAAATAAGGAAGACCGATCCAAAGTCCATGTCTGTGGATGACTTTCACACATTGCTAAATTTAGTCAGGTATAGATATTTTTAAACATTTATTACAAGCCTTTGCTATGGCCTTGAATTTGTCATTTAGGTCTCTGTTTCATCAATTACTATTTTCTTTCTCATTTACTAACAGGTTGTTATCATTGAGTGCTATGGAAACTGCCCCAACACAAAGTACATGGGAGAAAGCTAAAACCATGGAGTCGGAAAGGAAAAGGAGAATTCTAATGATGAACAATAGTCAGTGATTCTGGGTCTATGACAGTTGTTTAGAGTTTGTGAGAGAAAAGGGACATTTCCAGGAATGGAAAATGGCATATGCAATATTATATATACAAGTATATTACTTTGTTTACAATATTTACTTCTTGCATGTATATACATGTAGTTTTGTACATTTTGTTTACAAATAGTACCTCTATTTTTCAAAAATTGATTTTACAAATATGATACCTACAAGTATAATAAATTATGGTAATGGATTTGCCAATGATTAATTGTAAAATGTCAGAATAGAGAAGCATCACTGGAGATCACAGCAATCATGTTGTATTTTCCAGTCAGTGCATTGAACACCTGATTATTTTTTCACCATCTTTTTTGATGCACTTTTGCTTGTTTTCTTCTGAATCTTGGTATTTTGAATTCCTCCATTTTGTGTTGAGTAGGAATGAACTGTTATTTCGTCTACATTGAAGGTGACTATCTTTGGATGTAGAGATGTAAAGGAAGGTTTGTTGACCGTTTCTGCAGGACAAAAAAGTTGGTTGATTTCGCATTTATTAATGAATAATTGAATGCTTATAGATACAGAGTGAAGGCTTTAAATATTATTGAATAAGAATACACTTTAAATATTCTCGAGTTAAAATACAAACTGTTTGTTAAAGAGGACTTCTCCCTTTTTAGTGCAGGGACTGGTAATGAGTCTTTTTCTGGAGAGTTGTTTAATGTCTTCTTGTCAGTTGGTTTCTCTGTATCAAGGCATAAAGTGAATAAATTAAAAATAAAGTTCCATTGTTGAAAAACACCCCTTTTAGCCAAGAATTGCAAATATTATGGTCAGTAATTCAGAATGTCATTTTTGAGTCCATTCCCGAGTAGCTATAACCTTCTTGGACCAAACTTGCATGATTGATGCATCTAAGAATGTAGGCCTACTAAATACATTTGGAAGCAGCATGAAACCTACTATTAAAGGCTTGGAAATGTTATAGGTTTGGAGCAGGTCAGTTCATCAGTATTATATCAACACCATTCTTCGTCCGAAATATCTGACGTTTTCCTGGCATGTAAAATATGAAAATCGTAAAAAAGTCTGGAAAACGTCAATTTTTCGGACTAACCATTCTCAACAAACTCGGCTGGATGTTGCCTTCAAGTTTTAGATGCTCACTACCACCCTAGCTTAAATTGGATGTTTATTCCAACTTTTAATACGGCATTAGTTGTCTATCCCAGAGCTAAGCCACCACAGTTTAGCACTGCCAAGTTCGAGTTGGCAGGTTGCAAAACGGTCTTGGACTGAAATATCTTGCAGAACATACTGAGAGTTCATTCTTGACACAAAGTTTGTGTACTATGTATGTCCTAATCTTGACTGACAAGCACCATTTGGAAAGGAATCTAGCAGAAAAATGTACGGACTTTCATATAATAGAGAAACTAAGAAATCTACTTGATAAGATAATAAAACTAAAGAATGTGATGTAACTTGACAAGAAATGTTGCACAAATCAATATTGGAATGGAAGAGGGTGGGTATGCTTTCTCACAAGCCCAGTTAAGATACTGGTTATGATGTCCAAAAGGTCATTTGATGAAGATCTACCTCGACCAAGGTAAAAATCGGAAGTAATCTTGTAGAAAGGTAAGTACTTAACCAACCTTTCTTCAGTAAGACGGTTGAAATCCGAAAATTGTAGACGTTGTGCTTCCTCTGGGTATAAGTTGTAAAGTTCTTGTCACCTGCTAAGAAAAGTCAGATGTAATCTTCCACTGCAGTGGATAACAAGCCAACCAAGATACTAGCACCTAATGCCTCAATCTACTTAAAATTAGCGGTAGCGGATTCGGAACCCGCAAAATAATACCTGGGCACTTGCAGTCATATTCTGTAAGCCCGGTGAATGATGTTATGGATCTAGTGACCTTACTGAATCTGTCTAGAGCCGTGTCACACTCCAGCACATGTTTGAGGAGGGCCTGGGGTGTTCTGTACTGCCCCCTGCTGTCTTTGTAGTTCGTGTGATGTGAGTGACAGGGCGGGTCAGTGTAGTCAAGGATTCTCACATCTATTTCATCGCGAACCTCCTCGTAATTCTTCAAAATAGTTCTGCGCTGGCATTCTGTAATAAGATTATATAAGTTGTATAAAATTTTAGGTAGATAATTTAATTTTCATGTTTGATTTTTTTATAAATTGAACACATTTAATGCTAGTATAGTGACGAAAAACTAAAGCAAAATACATACAACAAATGGTGATTACTCTACCTTTGCACTGAAAAGTTATGGGTGTTGAAGGAAAAAGCTGCTCCAATAGAAAAGTTTCTTTTGACATTTTTAGTTCGTCCACGAAGACTTCCAAAGCAGGTTTTCTCTTGACTTGCAATAAACTGAGGAACCCTCTTGCTCTGCTTCGCCTACTACCCAGCCCCTTAATCCAAGTTACCTCTTTTTCTGAAAATATGTCATCTTGTTGGAAGCGTGAGAGAAAATCGAATGGTTCTAACTCGTCTTCTAACAGCGATCTGTTGTCTGCTAATAGCTCGACCAGAGAACTTCTGTCTACTTCCCATTGCTCTCCTTTCAATCCATAAAAAGAAATTGAATTTAGACTTTATTGTCTTCGTTTTATTTTGAAAATTCTTTTCATGAATGCAAATGGAACACTTGGGTAGTGTTGATATTAAATTTTAAAATCATGACCCCGGGGGTAGAGCGGGCCCACAGTAGGGAATCCAAGTATTACATAGAAATATATAGAACAAATCTTTAAAAATCTTCTTCCAATATCTTCTGGAAGTCTTGGGTAGGAAATAATTAACCTACAATGTTCAGAAATTTAGAACAAATCTTTAAATATCTTCTTCTCAAAAACACTGGGCCAGTAAAGCTGAAACTTATGTGGAAGATCCTGCATAAAAGTGTTAAAATCATTTGGGGAAGACCATTAATTATAGGCAAATGCCTCTTGTTTTTTTTTTTTTTCATTGCCACTTTAGCAGGAGACAATTTCCCGGAAAATGTCTAAAAGAACCACGAAAGTATATATCTGTAATCATTTTATAGGTTTGCCATTTTGTTTGTCATACGTTATTTTTGTATAGCAAAATGGTGGAACATAATTTTGTAGGTAACTCTACGCTGTGCATTCATTGATTCAATACGTTTGCAAAATAACGGTGGCTGAGGGCGACTGAATGACCAACCAAATCCACGAACATTGGACCCCAACGAACAAAGTAATGATATTTCCTCAGTAATAAACATGATCGAACCTTCCATGAATCCATTTGTTATTGTTTCTACTTGAAGCTGGAGAGTTCCCAATGGCAGGATCTCCGAGATTTGAGGATCCTCTAGTATCTTCTGGATAAACATCTTCAGACTGTTTTTGTCCAGATTCTCTGCTGCAGTGCTTGTCAGGGCTTTCAAGTATAGAACTATGGACCCGGCATGACCATCCTGTATGCTCATATGCATGAATCTATTGGCCAGTTCGTCTAGTTTTGAATCCTTGTTTTGGATTCTGCGAACAAACGTCTTTTCTAATGCGTGTATTTTCCGCAAATGTTGATTTCTGAATTTGAAAATGATCACATGGTCTCCTTCGTCATCTTCACTGTTAACTGTAAGTAAAACTGTGTAATTAAAGTAAAAAGGTTTTAAAAAGTTAGCAAGAGAGCAGATTCAACCCAAATATTACATGCAAAGCCTTGGTAATATGTTTCATCATTCCAGTGTAATGTTTTTTTGGTTTTATTACATGTTAGAGATCACCAATCATTCATGAAGCTTTAAGTTTTTTTGTGCTACGTAATATTTATGTTTGTGTTTCATGCTTAGATAGACCTATAGTTTTGAAGAAGTTCGACGTAGTAAACGGTTTAAGGGAAAAATTCTATATCCTATGTGTGCTCGTTAGTTAAAAGTGTTCTCCCAAATCTGGTGTTCTTTACTTTTTAATTCTCAATAGACAATAGACACTTTTAGACAGCAAGTCTATACCTATCTGTATGTCTCTTGGTTTTAATAAAATCTGAAAATTGTCTTTTAGAAAGTTTTTGGAGAAAAATCGTTAACTTTTACACGCATAAGTTAAGAAAACTAATTGTCTTACCATCGACCACTTTCAGCAAATGCTCATCTTGGAATAACACTCTAACATGTTTTTCACGTACATCTGTGTGATGAAAATAAAATTTTATTTGTCAAATAACGCATCATGGATATGATGTAATTATTTTATTCATTTTCTATATGTTTTCGTAAAGTATTAGTGTTCTGACAACCTCTCTTGGATTCATAGTAATTAAGCAGACGTTTACACTTGTACCTTTTGTCTTGCTGAGGTCTGCTTTCTTTAGATTTTCGACGACAGACACACCGGGTAAAACATGACGTAAGCAGTCGACAGCGCAAAGGAAACAGTTCAAAACGTCAATATCATCCTTCATAACCTTCTTAAGAAGTGCTCTAGCCCGCCTCGATTTGGAGTTCTCATTTTGGATCTCGTCATGGTCATAAGTAGAGAATTTGTCATCCTCTAGCTCCTGTAACAAGAAATCAGCGGTGGAAACTGCTTCAATGGTTTTGCACAGGAAAGTTTCTTTCATGTTTACATGGTCTATTGTTATTTCTCTTTGCCACTGCGACCAATCTGTGTGTAAAAGGAAATGTGTTTATAGTTGTTTGATAGAACTCTATAAAGAATTCTTATATACCTTACAATTTAATGAGAAAGACTAAATAACAATTTAAGAAAGACTAATTTTCATATACCAAAAATCATTACAATGTACCTTCTTTAGTTTTTAAGTCTTTGTATTTTTTAAAGTATGAAGAATGTAACCATATCCATTGGCTGATAACATGTTGATAAATTTGTTACATGCAGATCTTCCCTGACGAAGAAGAAGTTTTAGCAGGATATCTACCTGCGCACACCTGGGGTTGGGATTACAAGCAACATTTATTTCAAGTTCAGATAGGATTGCTTCCTGATACAGAAAAGGCCAGATATATCCAACTGACAGCTCCTCTTTAAGGAATATGTAATTTCTGCGGACTATGATGTCCTCTGAGGGTAAGATAAAAATATAACCATAGTATTGTCAATAAAATAGCAAGTTAAAGAAACTGAAGATGTATTCGTGCATATAATAACTGGCAAATAATTACATTTTATTTACCTGGTAATATAGATATAACTATTTTAGCTTCGTTTCGTATAAGTTCATTTTGTTCTTCATCAGTTTCATCTGAAAAAAAGAATGTTATCAGTATTATCACTTTAATTTTTTTAATGACTTTAACAGATTATCAATTACTTTATAACAAAATCTCATAAACCGCTCCACACAATTTTGTCAAACTTTGCCTTTAATATCAATGTGTAAAAACATATTCAAAGAAATTCCGATTCCTTCATATTTTCGGGAATTTTTCAAACTAGATTTTTGCTATATCTTGAAATATACAGTTTGTCAGCACAAAAAAGCTGCACACAATTTTTACAAATTTACAAAGTGACACAAATTTACATGTATATTCAAAAAAATCCGATTCCTTTATTTTTTCCACGAATTTCAGCACTCCGACTTTTGAGGGAGCGTGGGGTATGTGAGCATTTTTTTTTATGAATTTAACAGATTATCAATTAATTTATAATAAAATCTGCCAAGGTTCCGTTTTACAAGAGAACTTACGACACTAAGACCAAAACTTTTGCTTTTAATATCATGCAAAAATAACCTGTTCAAAGTACTAGTACTTGAATAAAACGTCTTCTGTTTTTTTAAACGATTAAATTGACAACAGAAAAGGAAAAAAAATTAAATTCTTTTGAAAATGAAATATACAATTTTTAGAAAAGAGAGACAGAGAGAGATAGAGAAATTGTAAAAGCACATGTATATTGAACATTTCCTTCACCTTTCTCTTCTATGAAAGAAATAAACGTGATTCATTCTCATACATGTAAAAATATACACAGAAGAGAGAGAGAGAGAGAGAGAGAGAGAGAGAGAGAGAGAGAGAGAGAGAGAGAGAGAGAGAGAAATGGTAAAAGTGCATGTATATTGAACACATGAACATCAGAAATATAATCTTTTTGTAATAAAAACGAAAATTGATGTCAGCTCAAGAAGTGAAACTGTATTCATAGAAGATCATTATTTTATTTTTAAACATTAAAAAATGCATTAGTGCATTATACTCATGCATTAATGAGTATATATGTAATACAAATATTTCCAAATATGTGTAAAAGAAAAGAATATGATTGTTTTAATCTTAAATGCCTGCCACATAGGGGGAAAAATATCAGTTACTTTGTAATTATGACAAATAAACCAGTTTTAAAGATTTCTACTCCAAAAGCTTTACCATAAAATCCACTGGAATAGGTTACACCTCGTTCAAGATCTATCAAAGGATCCATTCCTTCGGCATCGTAAGGTGCAGCATAATTTAATCTGCGGTTGACATATCCTTAATTAATTTGTCGACTTGGTATTGAAATTCTTAAAGACACTTCTTTTACTATTTGAACTGTTTAAAAGTTTTTAACTGTATATAGTACAATGAGCAAACATCTCAAGGCTTTTTAAACCATTTAAAATCATTGTTTTAGTACGTTATTTAGAACAATATAAATGTACTTCCACGTAAACGCTTTCTCTTTAAATCTTAATGTAATAATACTTTATGGTAAAGACTAAATCATGTAAATAAAATGATAAGCTTGAAAAAAGGGCATTATTATTAATGAAAGCAGATATAACGAAAATATCTGTAAAGCAAATAATTTAATGTCATATTTACAGTATTAATAATAACATCAAAGATAAATAGCATAATTTACAAGTTGTACATTTAAAGGTTTAACACTGAAATGACATTCATTTGTATTTGTCCCTGTTCATTCTTTAAAATTGAAATTTTGAAAGTATTTTAACAAGCATATTTCGTCTCCACCCGGAAGTGGCCCTGGTTCGTGTCGGCTTTTACATGCTCCATGATAGGTTTGGGAACATCGACTTTTGGATTACAAATGAAGTAGACATTTGAAGAATACTTTGTCGGGTGGTCGATCACACTGCCATGGAACATTTGTAAAAATACTCCTTAAAAAGAAACAAACAATTCGCTATAGCCAAGTTGTTGGATTTACTCACCTGAGCCGAAGGATTATTTTTTGTCAAAATTTTCCGTAAACTGTCGTTGTCGTTGTCGTCGTCGTCGTCGGCGTAAACTTTTCACATTTTCATCTTCTTGTCAAAATCACTACCAAATTTAACCAAACTTGGCAAAAAGTATCCTTGGGTGAAAAGATACAATTTGTTCAAATGAAGGGCCACGCCCTTTTCCAAGGGGAAAATTGAATTTATTAAAAATTAATGGCACTTTTAAAAAATCTTCTTATATACCACTGGGCCAGGAAAGATGAAACTCATGTGGAAGCATCCTCTGGTAGCGAAGATTCAAATTTGTTCAAATCATGACCCCCGGCAAGGGTGGGGCCAAAATGGCTTCCCAAGTTTTACATAGGAATGTATAGGAAAAATCTTTAAAAATCTTCTTCTCAAGAACCACTAGGCCAGGAAAAATGAAACTCATGTGGAATCATCCTCAGGTAGTGTAGATTCAAGTTTGCTTAAATCCTCCGGCAAAATTCAAAATGGAACCCTAGTATTACATAGGAATATATAGGGAAAATCTTCAAAAATCTTCTTCTCCAGAACCACTGAGCCAGGAAAGATGAAACTCATGTGGAATCATCCTCGGATAGTGTAGATTCAAGTTTGTTCAAATCATGACCCCCGGGGCAAATGGGGCCAAAATGGCCCACCAAAAATTTTACATAGGAATATATAGGAAAAATCTTTAAAAATCTTCTTCTCAAGAACCACTGGGCCAGGAACTGGTGAAACTCATGTGGAATCTTTCTCAGGTAGTGTAGATTCAAGTTTGTTCAAACACACCCCTGGGGCAAGGGTGGGGCCAAAAAAAATTGTGTGTTTTAAATAGGGATATATAGAGAGACCTTTTAAAATTTTAATTTCAAGTACTTCAAAGCTATGATTAGTGATATTTATATGGAATCATCCTCAGGTAGTGTAGATTCTAGTTTGTTCAAATGATGAACGCCTGGAGGGGGGGGGGGGGGGTAAATTCAAGCCCGATGTGCTCAGGTGAGCGCTGTGGCCCCTGGGCCTCTTGTGTTGTTTTGTTTTTTTGTCATTTTCCTTTAACATTATTAAATACACTGTTAAGAAAAGAAAATTCTGTACTTTTTTTTTTTATTTTACACATTGTGTTGTATTCCTCTCTTTGATGATACCAATACTTATTCACTCCAGTCCATAAAAACCAAACCATAATGAGAGTAGAACATTGCGGCAACTATCTTAATCACTAAATCTTACAGCTATAGTACCCAGCTGACTATTCTAAACTCTATTTTGAACCATTTTACTACAGTTTATGATTGAATATGATGAAGATAACGAACAGTAATCAAGCAAAAAAAGTCCTTTGAAACTAAAAAATTTGAAACAAAGTAAAAACATCAGAGGTGGTACAAGGTGCCATGAAGGAGTAAGCATCCCCTATCGACGAGTCACATCTGCCATGTGATCAGGAAAACGGGAAAATCCGTTGACAATTCTGTGTGAAAAAATGGCGTTACAGATTACGTATTCAAAAATATCAGTCAACATTCGACTTAAAAATAGATAGTGCTTGCTGACTTTGACAAGGACATGGCCAAATAGGGAATCCGAAAAATGTTGGCCTTAAACGAGACTGTTGATTTATATTATTGTACCATCATTTTATTTCTCAATAGCTTGCCTTGTTTTAGAAATTGTTTCTAAGTTTAACCTACCATCTTTATATGGTGCTTGATCGAAAGCTGCCACTTCAGCGTCTCCCCAAGTAATGCAACCATTTGTGGGGTCCATCTGTAAGAAAGTAATAAGACAAACTGTTGAATGAATTCTCTATTTAAAGTTTTTGTCTTCTTATTCATGTTAAGTCCAAGTTGTTGCTAAGATTTTTCAACGGGCTACTCTTGCACTTGGAAGTGTGTATATTCATACGTTCTACTTCGTATTTATCAACTTAGCATTATCAAAAAAGTAGCAGTAATTGTAAGGGAAATGAAAGATAAGGAGATAAGGAACAGTATTCAAGATGAAAAGTCCATAAAACAATACAAAATAGGAGCTAAAAAACTTAAATATTTCATGTTATCAGGAAAGAATAAACATGCATTATACATTTTATAAAAACAGACGAGGTAATTGAATCTAAAATGTGAATGTTAATTTGATGTTAATTTCGGGACGCGAACAAATTCTTCGGCTTATACCGGTAATTGCTAAAAATATAAAGATGCACACATGTCTTGAATATGAAAAAAAAACCCATCATTTCCCTTCTAAGCGGGGTGAATCCTCGAAAACACTAATAGTATTTAGAAATTGACATCTGCAATATGTATTTTATAATTTATATTTTTAATCACAGTTTCTTATTTGCATGCTTTTGAAGAATCATTTCGTATATATGTACAAATTCTATAGCATATGAGGGCCGTTCAAAAATTACGCGGACTTGTTGCACAGAAAAAATATTTGACGACATAATCGGGCAAAATGTCACACATAATTAAAAGAATCTTTACTTATATGGTCTTCAAAATTTCATATCAAAATGTTGTAAATTGGTGTAAGAGGGGAGTAATAAACCCACAAAAGGGTAAGCCGCATTTTCCATGCCTATATGATGCATATCTTTCCAAAATAAGTGGGGAGGGGGCTAAACTCCCTCTCCTTGCCCTTCGCCTGGTTATGATGCCTATGCTATACCCAAACAATGGATATGTATTTAGACTATTTACATTACCGGTATGACGTTGAAAACTATCAATACTTTGATTAACTTAAAACAGTTGAAAACTAGAATTTTAAAAGTACTGTAAAACGCACGAGATTGAAAGAATTTTCATATATAGTCTTGGAAAATCAAATTGCCCCTTTTTCTTAAGATAAATGCTATTCCTTAAGTCGTTCACATTTAGCCCCCGCTCCCTACATCAACTAATTACAGACTAGAAATTTTAAAAAGAAACGAAATAATGATATTAAACAATCCTCTCTCTCTCTATTTCCTTTTACAATATTTATCAAAACCTAAAATATTTAAAACGTCAATACCTCAGGTCCTGAAGTGACCTTATCACCAAAAAGTTGTCCAACCAGGGTCAATTATTTATCATACGATACGATACGATGTCGATTATTTGTAAATACATTGATCAAGCTTTACATTTTTTCAAAGTGCGTTAATATGGTCGATATTAACGCACTTTGAAAATAAAAAAAATATTTGTTAAAGTGCGTTAACATCATGTCAAATTTAACGCACTTTGAAAAATTTTTTCAAAGTGCGTAATTTTTCAAAGTGCGTTGTAACAGTGGTGCGCCGTCAATTCAGGAGACGTCATTTTCACAGTCGTTTTCATGGGAATCGCAACAGAGAAAAATCACTATATTTCTGTTAGTACTTCAAATACCATGTCAGAAATCTAAATACATAATAATAGAACAATTTAAAAATACATTTGAGAAAATTGTCGAAAAATATCGCGAATTATAGAAAATTAATGAGTTAAATTTTGGATTCCGCATGCTTTTGCTTCAAATTTTTTGTCGTGCTGCTCCGTACCTCTCCATCAGCGATATCAACATACCGATAATTTTAGTAGAATTTTTCTAAAATATAGAAATTTTGCCCAAAATTTATTGGAATCTTTAAGATACACATTTCTGTGAAATTTCATAACTATATGACCTCTATAAGAGTAAATAATACCACAGTCCGCGTAATTTTTGAACGGCCCTCGTAAAATCCCCTTTTTTTGAACACCGAAATAAACAACTTTGAGGTATTTCTTAATTACAAAAACTTTCATGCGCTTTTAAATCATTGTTAAAAGCACAAAGGTTTTTGTCAGTCAGTTGCAGTACATAAGAAATACCTTTGCTTGTTTTATTCGGTATTCAAAAGAAATGAATCTTTATGTTATTTATATTATGTATATATATATATATATGAATTATTACAGTATATATAGATCCATTGGTGCTGCAGTTGTTGCTTATCATTGGTTTTTCATTACGACAAACAGACAACTGAATTGTGACGTTCATAGTGCTGTCAGCTGCTAAGTTGTCCCATTTGTTATTGCCAATCACGTACAATGTCTGCATCCTTATGAACGGCTTTCTAGAATAATGTGAAATCTAGAAAAGTAAGGATGAAATTAATATTCACTTATAGCATCAACTTATTAACTACTATTATATTAGTCCGATGGAATTTAATGAAAAAGGTAAAGATGGAGAAATTTTTTCACCAATGTAATGGTTTTGAAAAACTGTTTATCCTTTTATTGCCCTATTTAATTAGAAGCTGGATAGGAAGTGAAATGAAAGAGAAAACAATAATGCTTTGAATTTTAAGTTGTTTCTTTGTATATTCTTTAACTGCATTTAGTCAGATATATAAAATGAAACATAAAAAGAAAACTTACACATTCACTAAAGGAGTCAAATTATACGTCTTTCCCGAAGCATCTGTATATCTACATTGCTTAATTTCCTCTCTATAACCAAAAACTACGACAAAACAGGCAGCCAAAACTAAATATGAAGTAATTCGCATCTTGCTTGAAGAAAATATTGTTTGAGGACAATCAAACCCTATGATATATCACATGATTCCGATATAGATTCCACGGGTACATATAGGTCATGTATCAATAGTCAAATATCGTTTAAGACGGTGTTATCTGACACAGTTGTCTAATATTAGATTATTGTTATTACTGCTCTATCATGTTTGTATATATACAAATATAAAAGAGGTCGTCAGGTTCTGATGAATTTACCACAAAGTCATACCTTTACTCGGCATTCAGGACTATTGAGGATGAAGGTTCTTAAGCTTCTAATGCATGTCGCGTTTCGGGGAATCTGTTTCCATATTCAAAGACCCACAAAAAATTCTGTATATTATATTAAGCACATCGTTTCAAATATTTCTATATAAGATGAACAAAATATTTGCTGCGGCTTCCAATTAGAAATTAAGATACTAGTATGTCGACGACGTTTTCAATTAATGAAAGTAATTACCAATAATATTTCACATCGATATACTAGTATCCCAGTGCAGTGAATAGGCAGACATCACAGAGTTTGCCACATCTGTTGCATATATAGATGTTTTACTAGAAAAAGGTGTTGACGAATAAACCTAATAATTTTGAAAAAAAGAAATTTATGATAAACTTGATGTCTTTTAACTTCCTTTAATTACGGTATGTTTAGTACATGTAGCAATATACCATCATCGCCGGTAGATTTTTTCTGTTTTGATTCGATACACAAGAGAATGCTCTATACATGTACGAAGGAACAAATTCTAAAACGAGGCAAGCTATTGACAAACAAGTTGATAGGACAGGGATATAGTAATTCTCATTTAAAGTCAACATTTTTTATGTTCTTTGGTCGATACAATGACCTTGTCAGAGAACACAATTTATCATTAAGTCGAATGCTAAATGAAGTTTTAGGTCATTTATTATACACTAAATTGTCTACGGTTTTTTTCCTGATCATTGCAAGAAACATACAGCGCGTCTGTCAGGTCGATAGGGGTTGCTTGCACCTCCATGGCACCTGATCCCACCTCAATTGTTTAAGATCTCCAAGTGTGCTCTGCTTCCGATAACGAGGCAAGCACTTTGCCATTAGGCCACCGCGACAGGTAACTTGTTCTTGAAATCCGCAGTTCTTTTCAGAGGAATAATACCGGTATATTCAACAAGGAAGAAAAATTTTCCTGAGAACATGCATCTCTCGCATCTACATTGTTTAAATAAAAGAATTTTTATCCATTTCATTGTTTAGTTTTCCTTTATTATTTATTGTCAAATACTTCATGATGTATATCATATAAAATTTATATTTGAATTATATTATTCACATGAAATACAATTTTAAAAAAGGAAATTCCTATTTTTTATATAAATTTCCAAATTATCAAAACATCGAAGTCATACTGTACACTGTACAATGTATGTGTTATTGCTTCTCATACATTGACTTAAAACTAACATTCTGTCTTTTATTATTGTTGATTCAAATTGGAATAATGATAAAAATACGTATAACACAGAATAAATCATTTTGAAAATTATGATATTATGTCAACTTATGACCTTAAAAAATTCTATTGTAAACATTTCATTTTAACAACTCACTTGAAGCAGTGAATAGAAAAAGAGAAATGAATATATATTTTACTCAATGTTTATTGCTTTTAAAATTTATAAAGATTATCAGCTGTCCTCCATTGAGCCTGGAAAGTGATGAAAGTCTGACCCCGGTAATGGCGTCATATAACGTGGGGGCGGATCTGAGTGATATTCTGGCGGGCTGGGGTGATGCTGAAATTCGTAGGGTGGGGGCTTCGGAGAATCATGACGATAAATTCTTGAACACTGAAAATGTTCATTTCCTGCATCTGAAATGATACACTGAAATTATGCAATATGAAGTTTCATTATGCATAATATTTTAGAACCATAAATTAATATTCCTTTATAGCAGTTTGCAACATCAGCACATATTTTCTTATTCCAAGTTATCCGATTCTAAAAGTTTTCCTGATTGTTACATTAGAAATTTATTTAGGATTTGTTTAAAATATGTTTAATTTCTTTTACCGTTGTTTATATGACGATGTCGTCTGACACGTGTTTTCCCTTTGTATACACAACAAACTACGATTCCTATGATTAGGGCGACACATATCACCCCTCCCGCTATCGCGCCGACATATAAGGCTGTCCTGTGAATAAAAAGGCGAAAGATTGAAAGTTAAAGAAGGCATGGGTTTATTGTCAATTTTTTTTTGCTACCATAAATATGCATGTATTTTTAATATAAACTGTAATACGAGGTTGATCCAAAAGTGATGTGAAAATATGTTATTTTTTATTTTTGATAATTTTTTTAAAATTTTTTAAATTTGATATCATTTGATTCATGATTTTATGGCAGTTGTGACATTTCTTTTAAATCAACCTCGTTCATTCAGAAATAACTTAAATATTTTTTAAAGTATATTTTGCTTATTGTAAGCACAACTGCTTGATTATCATTATTTTTAATTGCAAGCAATCATTATAATTTATTTTTTATCATATTTTTAATCATATTATTTTATTATGATGTACATGTATATTTTTAAATGCACACTTTCATTTCATTAACCTTCTTCATGAAACATATTGGGATTACGAACAGTATTCAAGATCAAAGGTCCATAAAACAATACAAAAAAAGGAGCAGAGCAATTACGGACCTCCGAAACATCAGAGGTGGGATCAGGTGCCATGGAGGAGTGAGCTTCCCCTGCCGACCGGTCACACACCGGGAAATAACGGGAAAATCCGTCGTCAATTCAGTGTATAAATAATGGACTAACAATAAATATGAAAAACGTCAGTCAGCATTTGACTCAATGATAAATTGTATTTGCTGACAAGGTCATTGTATCGACCATAGAACTTACGAAATGATGACTTTAAATGAGATAACTGAAATTCTTGTTTCATCAACTTGTTTGTCAATAATTTACCTCGTTTTAGAAATTGTGCACACGTAGAGCATGCTCTTGCGTATCGAATCAACTGAGATATATAAACTCCGTATGCATGTGATGAAGGTATATTGCTGCATAGGTAAGGGATTATCATAGAGCTTGGTTGTTAGATTACCATAAATGTCTTTTTTTGTAAAATATCCAAATATGAAACAGATGTGTCAGATTTGGTGTATCTTTAATCTCAAGCTCACCAGGATATATCGTATTGACATAAGAATGGAAATTACTATTGTTAATTGACAGTACGTCGTCGATATATCTAAATGTCGAGTTAACGGCCACAGCAAGTGTTTTCTTCTTTTCACGCATAGGATTTTGCACAAATGAATTTCCTAAAAGTTGCTCACTTTTGATTTCAAAGGATACTCCAGGGATCAAATAAGGATCAAATAAAGAAAACTATCATATAGTGTCTACTTGGATGTAATCATCTTCCAAAGTCAAGAGTTTCAGATTCATTCCACTACATATAAATCGGAGTGGATCAAAAACTCTTTATATTTCTGATGATGTGATATAATAAATTAATAAATAATAATACATACGATGTTAGAGCACAACAGTACCGCTCATAGTAAGAACCACAACATGTGACGTCACAGTACATGTATTTAACACCACGTCCACCATTGTAATTATAGGAGCAGTACTCTCCCCCCAAACATCCTGAAACAATTACATTATATATTTTTAGTTTTTAATAAAATCAATAGAGATAATGAATTGATTCTTTGTACATATTATATAATTCTTTCTACATAGTAAATGAGGTTAAAAGGTGACATTTTAAGAAGAGAATTTGAAAAAGCATCATAATTTCTTTGGAGGTCACAAAAAAGAAATTTAGGAAAAAAGAAAAAAATACTTACCAGATATCAATATCAAGATCTCTGCAAAAACTACATTGTTTCTTGTCATTCCGATATTTTTTGTGTCTCCATAATATTGTAAACAGCTTTAACAAACGTACATGTATATACCTAATTTAAGCTAAATAATTATCAGGAATGATGTCTGTTTAGATTTAAATGTCCAAGTATTAAAACAAAAATCAGATAATGGTTTGTTTTATACAGAGCTTTTGACGGCCAGACCATCAAAGGTTTAAATCTCCGAGTTCGTTTATTTCTCAGTGTTCATTTAAAGAAAAAAATACGTATGTTCATTTCAAGGCATTGAAATTTACACAAGTGTTACAAAATGTAGACTTCTCTCCGAAAAGCGTCGTCAGAGCTCGAAGTGCTCAACCCTCCTTCTAAAGAAAGAATTCTAAAAGGAGAGACCTAATTGTGAATTGATTTATATACCCCCTCCCCAACCAGCACTGTTGTCTTTGATGGGAGTTACTATATCTCAGTGTTGAAAAACAAACAAAACGAACTATAAAAAAAAAAACGTTTAAGTTATACCTGATAATTAACTACTATAACTTTCGTCCAATTTAATATATATATACAACCTAATTTTTCAGTGGATAAAAATCCTATTAAAATCATTTTGTTCCATTAAGCATAAACTTTTAGTTTAAAAAGAAACTCTCAATATTTTTGACAGAAAAAATGAATTACTGTAGATTCCTTATTTTTTGCGAGTACTTATTATCACAAAATTGTTCTTTAACGTCAAATCGCGAGAACAATAATTAGCCAGTGGACGGTTGATCAGGATATTTTACATTGATTTCACAACCATAAAAATAGAAGCGAATAATTTTATTTCACGAATGGTGTTTCTCGCGAAATCACACGATTATTAATTCCTCGCGGATATTTAGGAATCTACAGTAACATTCGAGAAACAAAGACAATACGTGCAATCTAATTGCACATTTTCATTAAATGATCATTTATGTTACAATATAAATTTTGTTTCGTCGATACAGAAATCTTTTATTATGAGGAATTTGAATGTATTTTAGGTTTATATCAAATGAATTTTAGGGCTTGTTCTCAGTATTTTGTATGGTTAAGCTATTCTTATAAGATAAAATATATTATTTGTACATCAAGGAGATATAATCTTTGGGGAATCTTACCTTTCAGGTAACATTTTTCACTTTTGTAAAGAAAATCCTCATAAAATATCCAATTTCCTGTATGAAAATTAAAATTATTGACTTATTTTAAAAATCTTATGACAGTTGATCGATTTGATTAAAAATATTTCAATATTCCTACAGAATTAAAATTTAATTTCTTGGACGAGTTTACTTTCCTAAAGAGATAAAAAGAAAAATTTCATGGAGAAGAAAATGTCTCCATAGGTATTTTTTCGCTCTTTAAAAAGCACTTAAATAGAATAAAATTTTACAGGAATTTCAATTTCACTTCTGTAGGATTTTTTTTCTTTACATTATTTTCTAATTAATAAATGTTCATTTAAAACAAATCCATTGGGATTTTTTTTTAAATTACATGTACCACCATAGGACTTTTTGAATCATTTTATTTTCAGTGTGGTTATGTTTTATAAAATGTTTATTCTATTTATATGTGTGTGAGTGTTTCAAATTCGCAGGCAAGTTAAACAAGAGTAAGAAAACTCTCATCCTCTTAATGCAAGTACTTTATAATATTATATCACCGTGAATAAATAAATTGAAATACTTGTTATTATATCAAAAATCAATTTATCACAAACGTGAACAAATAAATTGAAATACATTTTTTTTTTAAAAGCAATAATATATATTGATGCTTTCCAGAGGTTAAAAATATTCATTATCGAAAACGTTCCGATAAAGTAAAATTAAAAAAAAACAAACAGAAAATATCTTATTTTTTAAAAACCAATTTTAAAAGTTAATATATCATTTTAAAAATATCACTACGTGCATTTCAATCACAATCAAAATCCTCTGTTGTGGTAATTTTTTTTTTCAAATTTAAATTTACTTGATGTAAAAGATTTTAAGATATTCAATAAAATGTTCTACCTATATGTAGCTCCTATCAGTGCTCATCGCAAAGTACTTTATATTAATTATTGTGAAGGAGAAACATTTTAAGCAACATGTGGAACCTAACCGGGGTCCACGTATACGTTATATTAATTATTGTGAAGGAAAAACTGAACATTTACTAAACAACATGTTCGACCTCTGGAACATAACCGGGGTCCACGTATACTATACCCTGTTCACGAATTTATATTGCTGAAAAGATTCTTGTCTATCTTCTCCTTTTCTGTTCTTATGTAATGAAATATATATGGAGATATAATTAACAGTGGTCAGACTCAAAAGTCCACACAAACAAACATTTCAGGAGTAGAGCAAACACGGACCTCTAAAACATCAGAGGTGGGATCAGGTGCCATGGAGTAGTGAGCATCCCCTATCCAACGGTTACACCCGTCATGTGCTTCCTTTCATGATCGAAAAACAATGGGAAAATATATCTACAATTGATAAATTGCATTTTATATTATGGAATTTTATAGTTTGCTCACAAATGTAACCGGTAATCTGTCAATAAGTTAAAATATATATAGTTTTACTGTGCATCGATCAGAAGACAACATGCGAAAATGCCAAAGATGTCAAGCATCCCTAACAGACCGGTCATACCCACTGTTTGTTCCTTGACATGATCAGACAAACGGGAAAATCAGTAGGCAAATTTTATCCATGTAAAAAAAATGTAGGTGTATGGTTTTGTCTTTTATTAAAATTATCAACAGAAACAATTACACGTTATACACAATTATCTAACGTGACAAGAGTTTATACGATCATATTTTACAGTTACATATCAAAACTGTAAAATCTTTGAATGTTTTCAACTGCCAAAATATAAAATAAAAATATCTTTAAACACAAATAAAATTATTTATCTTCATTTATCTTCAACATATTATATTATTTAATAAGCAAATCTAAGCATTAAAAAAAATTAATATATCTTCAAACCTGTACAATAACATGAAACTTACAAAATTGATTAATTGATTCAGTAATTGATTGAAAATAACCACAAGACTATATCTTTACAAAATATTTATATTAAAAATGTATGTACGGAGCTGTATTTTATTGTTTTTTACTGTCGAACAGAACACCGCTAGTTCTGGAGAAGCTAACATTGGGAGTAAGTGCTTGATTTCCTGTAGAAATGGCTTGTTCATACAGCGGGGGAGCCGAGGGCCACTGATATTGAGTCCTCTGTGCTGCTGAAAAAAAAATCGGCTCATGAAGATTATTTTTCATTTTCAGTCTTTATTTGAAAAAAGATTCGGGTTATTTTACATAAAATATATTTGTTATGTAAAAGTTTCAATTTCAATTCATTTAGGGAGAGGGCTAAAAGAGGCTTTGCCTGCTGCCCAATCCCATTCACTTTTATTTGTGAATAAAATTTGTATGAATAATCAAAAAAAGTTTCTATTGCAATATCCCTTTACATACTAACCTAACATTTGATTGTGCGACTCTGGACTGATTCCGACGATGACGTTCTTTTTGTTGTATTTATGGATGCAGCAACATGAGACTGACACGATCAATACAACCAATACAACGGTAGCTGCAGCGATTCCAACATATAGACCAATGCTGTTTAAAAGGTGCTTTGGTTTTATTATGCCCATTTTATTCATTAAACATTTATCTTAGACATAAATATATTACATGTATCATCTTTTTTTCTGCTTGACTTGTATAAAAATTAAAGAAATCTCATGAAACCTTCACTTCGGTGCATTTTTGTGATGCCTTTATTTTTATTTTTTTCATATAAAATTACAAAGCAGTTTTCAAATTTACACCATTTTTTACCACAAAACATGACAAATAAACTGTCGTTTGTTTAAATATTTATGCATCACAAAAGTATAAGTATTAGTTTTGCATTTTGTCCATTGTTGTATATTCACTAAGTATTTTATAAGGCTTTAATGATAATTTAAATATTGGAAACAGAAAAAAAAACATATACAGTGACAAAAATAACCTCGAACGTGTATATTTACTTACATATTTTTCTTAACTATTTAACTATTTTTAGATTTAAGGTCCTTACTGGTGCTTAGTTTCACAGCAGTAGTGGTTATCCCTGACACCACAACATCCAGTAGAGCAATAGATGTATGACGTCATCGGCCACTTGAACCCGAAACTGTCTGTCCGGTAAGAGACTTGTGGACATTCGGCTCCCTTGGTAAGTGCTTCTAAATATTAATAAGAATTTTTTAAAAATATATATATATTTTAAATTATAGAAAAAAAGGATTTTAAAAACTTCTATCATTGCGAGAGAAGATTCAAACCAGTGATGATTATATACATGTAACATCGTCTTACAACATTATAATACCGATGTAGTTATACCATTTGCATTACATAGTTTACTTTTATATAAATGAATCATCCGACAAAATTATTTCGTTTAAATAGAAACAAGAGATCTATCAAAGCACATATACTACATGTATATATTGATGGACAATAGACAATAGAATATACTAGTACTCTCTTCTTCTCCCCCCTCTTCCCCCCTCCCCTTTCCCCTCCTATTTCTCTACACAGACCTCACTCCTCTTCTCAATTTTACTTTTCCTCTGATACCCTCTCCCTCAAAATAACTTAAGATTCATGCAAAAAGTGTTGTTACACTACATATCATACATGGTTATTATGGTCTTGGTTTTGAGAAAATATTAAGTTTATCTATGAATCTGTATATGGTACATTATTTACTAAAATATGGAATTAATGTCTTTAAGAATATTAACATTTTTCTAACCATTAACCACCGGTTTCTGACAGCTGTAGGAATAACAGTCATTGTCACAGCACTTCTCCTCCCCCTCGCAGTCATAGTCTCCCGTACAGAAATAATTACAACTCCCTGTCAGGGACGGCGAAACAGCAGGGCATGTACCCGGCTTCTTTAAATGGTCTGCTTCTACAAATTATATCTCAATATGGTCTGAATTTATAGTGATATAGCTAAAAAGTAACAAAGAACTAAATAGCTTCAAAGATTGCAGTTTGCAGTGCTTTGTCCGATTTAAAAGCAATACATGTAAATATTTTTTATAAGGTTTGTTATATCTGAATTGTTGTGATAACTAAATTAGTAGCAGTATTAAAAAAAACTTAAAAGAGTAAATTAAAGTGATGAAATACATGTATACATATCTTTAAACCTTATATTATAATAGTGGTATATCTGTAAATACTAAGGAAAAGAGGCATATTTTCAAGAATTCCTTAAACATGAAGCATTAAAAATAAGAAGTTTATTCAAAGTCCTTCCAACCGTCAATCTTAAAAACAAGGAAAAATTATCTGTTTAATAGATTTTCAATCATTTTTGTTTGTACACAGCTCTCTTTAATGACGAAAATATTAATGGTTTGTTAGAAGAAATACGATCCAAGTAACCAGAAAGAAAATCGATTGTCTTTGTTATTTTTATGTCGAGGTGATGTTGTGATGCAGAATTATACCTTTTGTACATAAAAATATGTGTTTATTCAGATATACAATTGAAATAAATAAATGAATATATTATTTATATTTATTTAAATATATCCATATTTATTTGTATACAATGAAAAATACAGATTTTCTGATACAGAAATCACAAATAAGAGAAAGAATCACTTATACCTAACATACTAATGTTTGATAAGGTGAAAGAAATATCGTACCTCCAAATCCGTTCCAAATTATCCAAAGCAGACAACTGGTTTCTAGATAAATGACGGCTTTCATTTTGAGTTTCGTGTTTTTTTTTCAAATAATGGTGGAATCACAAGACTTGATTTTCCAATAACTAGTCAGGCGAAACAAATGTACCCGAGAACACGACGTAAACAGCGCTTACCTTGCATCTGTGTTTTGCGGAGGCTTAATTAATAGGGTTTTATATCTCTTGCTCATTCATGAAAACATTTGTATATAATTATAATTAAGAAATTTTAGTGTAAGGTGGTATTGAACAGTTTATTACCCAACACAAATATTAAATCTCACTTTGCTCAACGGTCTAGGAAGTTACTTTCATCTGTAAGAGAAAATGTATTTTTAATGAATTAGTTTTTGAACCAATCAATTCTCGTTTTTCCTTTATGTACCCATAACTTTAACTCGGCAACCTGTATCGTCCTCCTATCATAAACTTACATGTACGTGCATCGTTTATATATATATCTTTGATTTACTTTTTTTCAAAATACAATTTTTACTAGTAATAACTACAATCAAAACCTTTTGAGATTTACCCGACAAAGGTAGGTCCTTATTTAAAGTACATGCACATACACATTAACTAGAAGTACCCATGAACTCTCATTTCAGATATTATTTCGATTAAAAAGCCATTCAGGTGCATACAGATAATTGCTGTTTATCACATTTATGCAGATTTTTTTTCATTTAATTAAAAAATGAAATGGGTGCATAGTCTGAGCAAAACAACTCAATGACATGTTTACATACCTGTAGATATTTTGATATAATTGTAATTTGTGCATTGCAACAAACTGCAGAATGAAACATATGGAGATAGCAAACAGTATTCAGGCTCAAAAGTCCATTAAACAATACAAAATAGGAGCAGAGCAAACACAGGCCTCCAAAACATTAGAGGTGGGATAAGGTGCCATGGAGGAGTGAGCATCCTCTGCCGACCGGTCACACCTGCCTTGTGCTCCTTGTCATGATCGGGAAAAAATGGGAAAATCCATCGTCAATTCAATGTATAAATACTGTAAAATCACATATTTTCGAAGGGTCAAATTTTCGTGGTTTGAGGAAAATATATTGGATCATGGGAATTTGATTTCGTGGTCGAAGAATTGTTCAGTAGTAATACATGCGTAAAAATCGCATTTCGTTGTGGACATAAATTCGTGGGTCTCTTCATACCTTAAAAACAACGAAAATTAAACCCCCACGAAAATTAGTGATTTCACAGTAATGGACTAACTTTAAACGAGACTGCTTATATTCTTGTTTCATCAAATTGTTTGTCAATAATTTACATCTTTTAGGAATTGTACATACATAGAACATGCTCTTGTGTTTAGAATCAACTGAGAGAAATCAACTCCTTATGCAGGTGATGAAGGTATATTGCTGCATAGGTAAATGAAGTTGACAATTAAAAAGTTGAAGTCATCACGTTTATCATAGAGCTTGGTTGTTGGATTACCATTAACGTCCTTTTCATGTAAAATATCCAAATATGAGAAAGATGTTAGACTCTGTGGTATCTTTGTATCGGTATTACAAAACAGACTATGTTATGACTGCAAAAGGATTTAGGCATGTTCCCTGACATAAGTATATCTCACTTTTATATACTCTAAAACTGTCATGTTTCACCTTTCTAAAATGATGACAATGTCATCAAATTGTGTTCATGTTCAATTATTGGAAATCAAAAGTAACGAATGTCCGAAAAAAAGTAAAAGTTTACAAAAGCACTTTGTAATACATGTTTCCAGGACTTAATAACTCTTACATTAAGGTCCCTTAAAAGACCCTGTCCCAGTTGAAAATGTAATCCCCAACCCACCCCCATCGATATAGGCAAAATTCCTAAATGACACAGAGAATTATTTATATGGTTTTTTTTTTTACATTTAGTAAATAATTTTGAAAAAGTTTAATTTTGGAATTTTCATGACTCATAAGGATGTGGACAAGTTCTTAAATAAAAGAGATAGATTTATCTTATAGTTGGGCTTTATCATCTATAGTCAGTCTGTTGTCTCTGTTTATTCAAGTTGAATGGGATATGACGAATTGACACATGAATGCGCCTACACATTATAATTCGAGTTGAAAGCCCCGGCTGGTGTTTTCTTCCTCTCATATAGGAGAAATTCTGCTTCAGAGGAATATAAAAACAGGTCGGCTAATAAAGGAGCACAATTGTTGCCCATCGGAATTCCATCAGTTTGATGGAAGACTTTCTATATGAAAACTACACAAAGTTTGTCAATGAGGAACACCAGCATCATTTTAATATCAATTTCAGGGTGCTGCTTGTGTGTTAAATCAAAATCATTTTTAACAAGGTAATATTGGTGATTGCCAATCATAAGACTGGAAAATTTATCACTTCCATTTATGTTGAAAGGGCAGCTGCGTATGAAATCAGCAAAAAGATTTATCGTGAGAAATGGTTGTATAAAATGTAGAAAATGAACATTATGGTGCTACTGATTTTTGTAAAATTTGTCTTCAATTTTCTTAAAGTCCTTTGGATTTTTTTCAGAATTTACCTCTGATTTTCATCATTTATAAAATATCCTGTAGGATAATACGTCTGAAGTTTCTCCTTTACAGATATTAATATGTTTGTTAGTAAGGATTGTTTGTTGCAATCTATCTATTTGTAAAGATTTTCTGAAGGTTAGGAATTCAGTATAGGTAACCTTGGTTGCAAAACTAAAATGTGATTTTCATATTTAGAACGTGAATTGCGAGTTTAAATTGGATTTCCAAAAGTAGAATTGAAACCAAGTTCTCCTGAAACACATGCAGTTATAAAAATGAGCCTTGCAAACAAAGACGATATTATTATAAGCCTTCTCGGTTGGAACCATAACACATGTTGTTTTTGTAATCTTTCTAATTCTTTCATCACCGACGATTTAGTAAAAACGTTAAGATGGATGGTGCACATATTGCCTTTTAATTTTTTTTAATACGATTCTTTAAAAGATTTCTGAAACATTCACCCGTTCTGACAAAAGGTTCATATCTTCCTTTATTATATTAAGCCCAACGTCTAGCATAATCTAAGACAGACTTCATACATGTAATTCAACAGTGTTTTGAACTTTAGACTAGATAAATTTCTTCAAGAACATAATTTAATTCATCAATCTCAAATGGGTTTTACCAAAAATGCACGAACATCTGATCACCTATTTGTTCTAAAATGTCTAATTGACAAATACTGTAGCACAAAAGAAGGAAGACTCTATGCATGTTTTGTTGACTTTCATAAAGCTTTTGACAGTGTTATACATACAGGATTAAAGCTAAAATTACTTAACATGAATGTTGGATCTAAATTTTATAATATCATTAGTAATATATATAAGAATAGTCAAGCATGTGTGAAAATTGGGAGATTCTTCTCAGATCCATTTCAAATAGCTATAGGCGTCCGTCAAGGGGATAATTTGAGCCCCTCCTTATTTAAAATATTTATCAATGACTTTCCTTCATATTTAGATTCATGTATTGATGAAGTATCGCTTCAGACACAAACTGTTAATTGTTTAATGTATGCAGATGACATTGTTATTTTATCCTCATCAGCTAAAGGTATACAAGCAAGACTCGCTAAACTTGAAAAGTATTGCTCTGATTGGTGTTTAAAGGTAAACATTCAAAAAACAAAAGTCATGATCTTTAATAAGGCTGGTCGTAATATTACACAAAAACTAATATTTCAAAATAATATGATAGAATGTGTGCCCAGCTACAAATATCTTGGAGTCCACCTGAGTGTATCTGGAAGCTTTCATGTAGCAAGATTAGAGCTTTATAAAAAAGCATTAAAAGCATATTATAAATTAAGAAAGGATTTTATTGATTTGAACCCTGGGATTAAAACCAGTATACATGTATTTGACTCTACCATTAAACCAATTCTTTTGTATAATGCAGAGGTGTGGGGTGCAAGTAATATAAATACTAAAAAATTCCTAAACAGTCAAAATTTAACAGTTGAAGATTGCTTTAAAAATCTACCCTGTGAAAGAATACACCTTAAATTCTGTAAATATATTCTAGGCGTTCATAAGAAAAGCACAAATTTTGCAGTACTGTCTGAATTGAAAAAAGGTTCCCCCTGCATTATGATATTGCCAGGTTGTTGATTAAAAGTTGGTATAGATTTGAGAATTTGTCCATAGAATTTCCTTTACTTAAAGATGCCTATGAATGTAGTAAAAAGCTTTTTGCGAATGGAAAGAACTCATGGTTTGCATTTATACAGAAATTAAGAAAATTACTGAATATTAAAGATGAAGTTATTTGTTATGGAAAATATAAATTTAAGTCATTCTGTCATAAAATTTTATTAGATTATTATGTGAAGAAATGGTATACAAGTTATAAAAGTTACACCAATGGCAAATTATCCACATATGTGAAACTCAAACAAAATTGGGGTTATGAGAATTATTTATCAGTTGTTAAAAATTTTCATCACAGAAAATCTTTATGTAAATTAAGAATTTCCTGTCACAGATTACAAATTGAAGTGGGAAGATTTACCAATATTCCTCGAGAAGATCGATTATGTAATAGATGTAATTCTAACAACATAGATGATGAAACTCATTTTTTAATAACATGTAAAAAATTTGATCATCAAAGAAAAGAAATGTTTCAGTTAATTAATCATAAATTTCCACTATTTTCAGCTTTAGATGATGAACAAAAACTTTATTGGTTACTCAATACAGAAGATAAGGAAACTCTTAATTTTGTGGGCAAATTTATAAATGATAACATGTTATAGTACCATTAGTCTTTTACACATACATGCATATTTGATGTATTCCTTTTAGACAGGATTATTGTTGAAATCATTTATGTCAACTGCTAATTGTATAATTGTTTTGCTATTCATTGGCTTATCTTTTCCTTATTATTGTAACAATTTCATACTTGTCTGTTATGGGCTCTAAATTAGAAATAAAATGTTCTGTTCTGTTCTGTTCTATGTTGTAATAGAAATAAAGTTCTGTCGCCAATTGAAAGATCCGTGTTCCCTGTAATTAGAACATTTTAAGATGATTGCTCAAAGGTCTTTACTTTCAACTTTATTGGCATCACGACGTGTGATTGACGTGTCCAGCGGGACTGTAGATGAAGGAAGACGAAGAAGAGCAACAACAGAGAGAATTTTCCCTGAAATATAGATATCTAGGCTTTGTAATGTTTGTGTATAACTGAAAAAAATTGTGAAAAAAGAGGCTTTAAGGGTACAGAGAAAAAAATATAAAGAAATGTTAATTCTGGTCATGCGTACTGCTGAGAAAGATTCTAAGAATTTTGGAATAAATATCTGGAAATGTAAGGATGTAAAGGTTATTTTCAATGATGGTTCAAAACCTGAATGTATGATTATAAAAGGCGGATCCATACAAACGCAAATCTTTGATGTACGATAATTAGTGTTCAAGGTTTTTCAGCATCTTTGAAGGACCACAATTAGTATCGTTTCAAAAACAAAACAAAAACACTCATAAACATTATAATTTCAGAAGAAGGACAACAAACTCAAGAAAAACAATTTATAGACCAGGAAGATGCTGCTGGTAAATTAATGTAGGAAAGCACATTAAGTCGAACAAATTTCCTCGGAGACTCTCCGTGATGTCTCACTAGCTAATGGAAAGGAAGTTATTTATGTTCTTCGTTAATTACTCTTTTCGTCTTAAGACCATGGCATTTAATAGCCGTCAACGAATAGAAGAATCTTATTTTTTGTATTTAAAAGTCTGAAAAAGTAATTAAATTAGGTTACGAAAGAAAGAGGACAAACATTTTACATTGACAAAAATAACACTACTCCAGACTTTTTTATTATTAGTGAGTCAACAAAGATAATACAAAATATTATTCAGTTCTGTCATTCTACATGACTAAGATGAAAACAATATCTTTCATTTGCTCTGAAGCCTTAATGAAACATTTCATCATGAATAAATGAATTCAAATACAAGGCTAAAAACTTCAAGTTCTATATTCCATTGTGTTTTTTCTTGCAATGTCAAAATTGTAGGCCTATATATAACATCGAAAAGGAACAAGAAATAATATAGATCAGTAATAAAAAAGTACACACAAAATTAAGCATTTGATACTGAGCATAGTGTATATAAGTTTAAGTATTTAAAGATGTTTAAATCTGTAAGCTATTGTTAAATACATATATGTTTAATGGCAAACGTGTGTAAAAAAGATCTCAGAAATATTTAAAAATAAGCGCTTTACATAAATTATTGTTACTAACATTGCATTTAAATCTTGCACTTTACATGCGAACGTATTTTCTAACCTGCAATGCATCCTGATAAAGTACATTGAAACTTAAGTACATAGAAATGGGAGAAAAATGAATAAAAAAACACAACTTCTGTGATGAATTTTAGAAAAATTATGCGTCTTAATAAAAGAGCCAACTTTGGACGTACATATATGTAACGAAGTGCAAAGAAAATTTATAACTAACAATTAACTTTAAATTGCCGTACATGTTTATGATCAAGCATATCAAAACAAAACAATTTTTAAATGAAATTAAATAAGCTTTTAAACAAATGTACAAGCATGCACTAAAAAGATTTAACGTAGAAATAAAACTTTAATACAGAGTGTATCTCTTATCCCCATATCTTAAGTAAGCTACTACGTTTATCAAAAACTCTCCAAAAAGGGGTAAAGTCGATTTTTATGTGGAAGTGAACAACTTTCCACTAGTCCTGGTATATCTGACAGAAGTGTCACGTGGTGCAGTGGGCGTGGCAGCTGGAGAGACGGTGTGTTCATACGCAGGTGGAGGGGACATCACTCTGTCCTCAATATCCTGAACTAAAACCACATCATAATTCAATTCATATGTGATGAATATTGATTTTGAAATACAATCTAACGGTTATTTCTACAGGAGTTAGGTTTTTTTAATTTTATGTTTCAATCTAAAATTACACCAAATTAAGGAATTCTATGGGTAAAAATAAAAAAAAAGAAAAAAGAAAACAAAATCAGATAAAAACATTTCAGAAATAATAAGGTATATATTTTTTATTTTGTCAGATTGTCCATCTATGCACTACTAACACAACATGAGTAAAACATTATTACTAGACAATAAAATATCGGCTTTCTACCTGTCAAAATTCGGGCTCGAGATCCATCTGACCACCGAGGGTCTACTCCAACAGTGACATTCTTCTTATTGTATTTACTAATACAGCAGCAAGTGACGGAGATGATACACACAATGGCTACCACAGTACCAGACACGACTCCAAGGTACAAACTGGCACTGGAGAAGAAAGTTATGAAAAAGTCTAAGGATAGGGGAAATAATACAAGAGTCTAAGGATCAGATATGGTACACAATATACTAGTAATAAGAAGCTTGGGTAGAGGAAATAATAATCCGAATGGCAATGTAGGAGTCTGAGGATGAAGAAAACAATAAAGGGGTCTTGGAATGAGGGAAAGTATAGATGTTTTAAGAAAACGAGTCAATGTAGTATGTTAGAATGAGAAAACAGTGTGTGGATGAAGAAAATCTTGAAAGAGTATATAGATGAAGAAACGATGAGTGTGTCTCCGCATTCGATAACAATAAAGGAGGTTTGGAATGAGAAAAGCAACGTAGGAGTGTAGGTGTAAAGAAAACAATGTGAATTGATAGAAAAAGGAAAAATGATCTAGGTGTTAAAGTACGAGGAAAACAGTAGAGGTGCTCTTAGATTAAGAAAAAAACGTATGTGTCTAAGGATGAGGAAAACTTTATTTAAAGGGAATCTTAGAACGAACTAAACAATGTAGGAGTCTTAGGATAATGAAAACAATGAAGGACCAATGGGGAAAACGATGTAGGTGACCTAGGATGCAAGTACATGTATCTTAGAATGTGGAAAACACTGGAGGAATCTTAGGATGGGAGAAAACTGTAGAAGTCTTAGGATGATCAAAACCAAAGCAACGGCAAAAAAGAGATATACATATGTAAGTGCCCTAGAATGAAGAAAACAATGAGGAATTCTTAAGGTGAGACTTACAACCTAAGAGTATAAGAATTAGATAAACAAAATCAAAGTTTAAGGATAAAAAAAATGCAAGAATACTGAGATGAGGAAAACAATATAAAATTCTTCAGATGAGGACAAAAATTTAGGAATTGTAAAATATGTTCACGATTGAGAAAAAAAGTTCTAATGTCAATAAAATAAAACTCTTAGAAAATAAGGTAGGTCTATTTTGATGAGCCAAACCATGAAGGAATCTTGGGATGTAGAAATTAAAACGAGTATTAGGGTGAGAAAATTAATGAAACAGTCATAGGTTCAGACAAGTGATGAAGGAGTCCTAGGAAATCAATATAGGGATCTAATCTTAGGATAAGGAAAACAATGTCATGAAAAAAATGGAAGTCTGAAGGTTAAAAAATAAAATAGAAGTTCTATTATAAATAATGTCAGACTAGATTGTGACGAACAAAGAAGAAGCATTCAACGAGGAAAGAATATAAACGCCTTCGAAAGAGGAAACTAACGGAATAGTTTTAACATAAGAAAAATTTTATAGAAGTTTGAGGATGAAAAAAAAAATCTAAGGTGAAAAATAGAGAAGTATTATGGTGAGAAAAAAAATGAAGTACGACTTCTTGGATTTGGCAAACGCTGTAGGTTATTAGGATGAGGAAAACAATTCAGAAAATCTCAGATGAGGAAAACAATATAGGGGTCCTGTGATGAGACAAGACAAGAGGTTAAGGATGATGTAATCAATGAAGGGGGTTTTGGGGGAGAAAAGAAAGGCTGAAGTCTTAGGCTGAGGAAAGCAATGTAGAAATTTTAAGATAAGATAAGAAAAACAATATAAAAGTCTTCGGATGAAAAAGAAAATGTAGGAGACTTTAGGAGAGAAAAATAGAAGCGTGAGGATAAAAACAATAAAATAACAAATGGTGAATAATGTAGAACTATTGGAATGAAACAAATAATGTAGGCGTCTTTGGATGAGGAAAACAACGAAGATGTTCTGAGATGAAGAATACAATGTCAGAGTCTTAGAATTGACAAAAAAAATGTAGCAGTTTTAGGACAAGGAAAACAACGTTGAAGTTTTAGTACGAAATGAACTATGTATCAGTTTTAGTAGAAAAACAACGTTACAGTTTTACGGCGAGGAAAACAATGTATCAGTTTTAGTTCGAGGAGAACAACTTTGAAGTTTTTAGACGATGAAAACACTGTAGCAGTTTAAGTACGAGGAGAACAATATAGCATATTTGTATGAAGAAAACACCGATAAAGATTTCAGTTGAGGAAAGCAATGAAGAGCAGTTTTAGGATGTGGAAAATAGTGTATTAGTTTTGGTTGAGGATAACTCAGGCACCTGACGTTACTTATTTTTCTTTTAATAAAAAAAATACATGTATACCCATACCTTATTAGGTATGGGTATATTTTTTTCTATTAAAAGAAAAATATATAAGTAACGTCAGGTGTCTGTGGAGGATAACTACGTTGAAGTTTTAGTACGAGGAGAACAATGTAGCAGTTTTAGGATGGAGAAATTGTATTCGCTGGATGGGCATAAACAATTCATTATTCCTTCATATTTATTTGTTTATTTTATGTATATGGATTCCACTTATAGTGAAAGCTGGGGCTGTGTTATTACATACTTTATACCCTTTGCCAACTGTGATTTGTTTTCGTTTTTGTTGGATAATTCTGATTGATTTAAGAATATATCACTCTCTTAATGGACTTTCGCGAGAAGCTCTGACTTCTACAGTTGAGGCTTACCTTTACACTAGAACAATGGACGGAAACTCTTTAACGATGTAAATATCTAGCTCAACATTTAATTCAACGAAAACAGAGGGTTATTTCAAAGCACGAATCAGTTGTCCTTAAAGAAAACGACAACCACCCTACCCTCAACTCCCGGCCTTCACACGTTAGTGCCCCCTAACAACATTTGGGGCACTACCTATGACCTCAAGCAAGGGTTTCTTTTCTTTTATCAATTCTGTACCTTCGTACATGATACTTGTAGGTTGAAATGTCAAAGTAAATGTCAACTGTAAAAGTAAGAGCTTCTTACAAAATTCAAAAATAAGACGTGATCAAGTATTCCGACTCTTCTCTAATTATAGTAACTCTCACTGGTCTTTGGTATCATGTATTCAAAATTTCTTTCGTGGTTTCCAAATTTATGGTCTTTTGGACATAAGATAAATGTACGTTTACTAAAAAGAAACGATTTTATAGTGATTTTGCCACACCACTTCCAGAATGACTACAGCCTAGAAAGAAGCTTATTAAATTTTCTAAGAACGCATCGTCGTCAGTTATAAGGGAATGTGCAGCTTTGTAGTTAATTTATTTATTTGTAAATGAATATTCAAAACTAGATGCTGTCATGAGACAGTAATACCCGCACTATGGTGTTTGCCTCTAAATACACCGCTGCATTTCATTTCCGGAAATATGCATAGCATTTCCGACAATTTTTTATTTCATTTCCGACATTTTTTGTTTTCATTTCCGACATAATATTTCTTTCATTTCCGGAATTTACCTGTGCGGCAATTCAATGTTTTCTTAAAGTATTTATACCAAAATATTGATACAAAATAATAATAATAATAATAATAATAATAATAATAATAATAAAAAACAGCTTTACATTTATGCATATATGTAGAACTAAGTCTAGGTAAAGGAGTTCAATGAGCATAAAACTTTTTCAACACATTTAATGTGCACCAAATAAAATGTCAGTGACAGCAGCATACTCATGTCCAAGTCTTTGATAGATTTACAAAACTGGATTTCAATGATTTATTTCTGATTTATTCCTTAAAAATTTTCATAAGTTCAGTTATCAAATCTGTTACTATAGGTACTATATATGTATTTGAAAAATGTCGGAATGAAAACAAAAAAATGTCGGAAATGAAAAGTTGATAATTACCAAAAATTCCGGAAATGAAATGCAGCCAAATACACACTCCTTCATATTGGACTTTCCAAGGAAGAAGTCAAAATAATTCTATAATTATCACCGTACACGTATTCGTCAAATTGAACATGAAATTTTCAGGTGACCATATGATCTATGAGCCTCACATATGTATTTTGAATACTTAATTCATTACCAGTCTGAAATAACAGAATTTAATTAATGATTGAAGTAAATTACTTAATTAGATTCAGATAAATATTTTGCCCATAATTTGGAACTTTTTAAATTTACTTTCTCAACGACATATTATTTTAGTACAAAGCGTTTTTGATGAATTTATCAAAATGTGCAAACTGATTTTAGTACTTGGTCGGGAAAAAAACCCATTGAAAATACAACCCGATTAATTTGTCAATGCCTATCTCTCTCTCTCTCCCCCCCCCCCCACACACACTCTCTCTCTCTCACTCTCACATTTTTTAACCAGAAGTCTCTGTCGAGACTGTAGCTCTACTGGTTTGTACTTATACCAAAGGATGAGAAAAGAAGCCACTGCCATCAGACCAAAACTATAGAAGGAGTAGCGTTTTAAAAGAATTTCACAGACATTTCTATTCTTAGTAACAATTGAACACTGTTCATCGAAATCAAAAACCGATGCATTATTTTATGTATCTTAGTGTAGTCTACTTGTGTGCCAAGTAATACTGAAATCAGACCAAAACTGTAGAAAAAGTAGCGTTTTAAAGGAATTTCACAGAAAATTCTATTTTTAGTAACCATGGCAACACCGTTCATCGAAATCAAAAACCGATGCACTATTCTATGTATCTTAGTGTAGTCTACTTGTGTGCCAAGTAATATTGAAATCTAACCAAAACTGTAGAAGGAGTAGCATTTTAAAGGAATTTCACAGAAAATTCTATTTTTAGTAACCAAGGCAACACCGTTCATCGAAATCAAAAACCGATGCACTATTCTATGTATCTTAGTGTAGTCTACTTGTGTGCCAGGTTATATTGAAATCAGATCAAAACTGTAGGAGAAGTTGCATTTTAAAGGAATTTCACAGAAAATTTTATTTTTAGTAACCATGGCAACACCGTTCATCGAAATCAAAAACCGATGCACTATTTTATGTATCTTAATCTAGTCTACTTGTGTGCCAAGTAATATTGAAATCAGATCAAAACTGTAGGAGGAGTAGCGTTTTAAAGGAATTTCACAGAAAATTCTATTTTTAGTAACCATGGCAACATCGTTCATCGAAATCAAAAACCGATGCACTATTTTATGAATCTTAGTGTAGTCTACTTGTGTGCCAAGTTATA